AAAAAAAAAAAAAAAAATTCAGGCCTGTACAGGATTCGAACCACTGACCTCTGCGATACTAGTGCAGTGCACTAGTAATCCTGTACAGGCCTGAATTTTTTTCAGGTCTGATTTTCACTATTGCTTAAATAGTGCTTTACTGCGAAGGATCGTGCACATATACGTTTCATAACTGCAGTTCATATATATGTATTTCATATATATTTGTTGTTTGATAAAATCGTGTGATAAATCCTCCAGAATTTACTGAGGGTGGCAAAGGGATTATGCAAGACACATGATTACAAATAATAATAATAATAATAATAATGATAATAATCTACTGTGAGGATCGTGCATCATATGTATCTATAGCTGCAGTTCAAAATATATGAACTTCATATATTCATCGTATCTGATTTATCATCACGGGTTTATTACGAATCAACTTAACGGCCTACTCCCAGTTGGCTTGTTAGCTCAATTGGTAGAGTGCTGCACTAGTATCGCAGAGGTCAGTGGTTCGAATCCCGTACAGGTCTGATTTTTTCAGGTCTGATTTTCGCAATAGCGCTCTCTACTGCGAGGATCGTGCATCATACGTAATGATAATAATGATAATAATCTTTATTCTCTCAAGATAAAAGTACATATCTCAAGTTACAATATTAAAAAGAGTCATGCAAAAAATATGCAAAAGATAATCTAAGAATCATTAAATATAACTAGACAAATGATAATCGAAATATTATATTTAAAAAACTAGCCTATTTACAAACACATTCTTAAACCTTTCCGAATTTATTCCAAGATAATGGACAATTCTGATTCTGAGGTTGTATTTTGTCTCTTTTTCTTTGGAATAATTTTGCTTCGTGGGCAATCGGGGTCAGCGGTGCGTGCCTTGAAGAGCTTCCTATCTGCCTTTTGTAATAGGTCTCGAATGTCCGTTCTCTTTGATATATATTTCCTTTTAAAACACCTATCTAGGAAATTTTGTGTGACCATGAGGTCTGAAACTACCGCACCATAAACAGACACACCATAAGTGAAATTTGGTAGGACTAGGGTGCTAAATAGGCGGTCAACTTCGCTTTGGCTGAAACCTTCCTTCTGTAAAGATCTTAATATGAATAGACACCTAGTCACCTTCATCAGCTTAACTCATACGTGTTCACTGTACTTACAATTTTCCTGAAACATGACACCTAAAATAGACAGCTCTGTGCATTGCGGAATGTTGTTAACTGGTGCTATGTTCTGACTAAAACCTTTCTTACAAAAAATAAGCCCCTTACATTTCGACAGATTACACATCATACTATTGTCCTTAGACCAAGTTAAAATCCAATCAACTAAATCTGTACAAAAGTAGCCATTACTCCAAACAGGAACAATGAGGGTTGAATCATCAGCATATTTAAACAAAGTAGGATGATTATCTAAGCTAATTTCTAGATTGTTAATAAAACTACTAGATAAGTATGGCCCACTCACGCTACCCTGAGTAGTTCCCCTATTGACACATTTCCATTGTCCTCGAAAACTACTGTAAATCACGCACTGTTGACGTTTCTCAAGAAAGCTTAAATACAAATTGATTATAAATGGATATAATGGTACCTGCTTAAGCTTAATAGACAAAAGTTTGTGATTAACGCTGTCAAACGCTTTACTGAAATCCATAGCAAATAACCACACAGCTTCGCGCTTAGGATCATCGAGATAGCTGTACCCAATGTGCTCCATACTTATAAGTGCATCTATACAGCTCCCCCTGTTCTGTAAACGAACTGAGTCGAGCTCAAGTGTTTCTCAACAGTGTCCCACGTGTGGTTATACATGCACTTCTCAAAAGCTCATGCAGTTACTGAAGTAATATTGACCCCTCCCCAGTAAGCTCAAAATTAATACGTGACAGATGACTTCTACAAGGTAAGGCACGATTTTCCCTTTCAAATTTGTGATGCATGAAATACTGTTTAAAGTACATGTGACACATGAATGAGGACCCCCCCTTTGCTACCTTCTCTATTGTAATTAAAATATGGAACACTTCTCAATGCAAGAGATTTTTCCACAAAAGAGAGCAGGTCATTATGGGAATATAAAGAAAGACTTTGAAAGGTTTAAAATTCATCCTCAACCCTGGGAAGTAACAATTCTGGATGGGTAGATAATTCCCTACAAGGTCATTGTCTAGCTAGATAAAGTACAAGATTAGCTATATATGAAGTCATACAGAGGTGGTCAGAATTAAACACCTTTTACATCTTAACATGTCACGTTGAAAGAGCCCCACCAAAAACCCTCTCCTAAGTGCACTAAGAGATACCCCACTACACCAGTTCACACACCCACCTAGCAACCATAGACCCAAATACAAGTGGAAAAAGGAAATCAAAGAGATCTATAAATATCATCAAGAACATGTAGATATGTAAATCTCTCCCTCCATCTCCCTCTTAGTGGTAGATAGATAATCAATCCCTTTGAATGCTTGGAAAGTAAAAGTCAAATTTTGCAAATGAATAAAGGGGGTAGGTTTCTAAAGAAACTGTGGTGCTGCGTCCATGGGGGAGTATAACCAGGTAATTTTTTGTTTCATCGTTTAAATTGGCCATTGTTAAGAGTTTCAATGCTGATGTTCAGAGTATTAGCCCTTTGTTCTAGGCAGTCTAAAACAAAAATTTAGCAAATAAACACTTTTCATTCAACTAGTTAATTCTTATTTTTCTTATTACTGTGTTCCCACTGATAGCACAGCTCCATTTTCTGCATATAAACACACATACAAATCACAATTCCTCCATTTGCTCTGACCAAGGGCTAAAGCTCAAAATGTCAGCTTTGAAACTATTTACAGTGACAAATGTGCATTATCAATTCAGTTGATAAAACCAAATAACCTTCTAAAATTTTGGTAGTCTGGAATAACTTTTTAATGGAAAAAAAAAAGTGAATAATATTCAATAAACTTAGTTGATGTCACCTACTCTGACTCCCATCTGTTGGCTGAAAACAGTAAATGAATAGCATGATCCTCCAACTCAGTTGTTCCTTGAAGATAGCCATTAATAGATTGTCCTATGGCTGTTGTTCTGTCTGTAGACAAACAAAACAAACTAGGATACATGCAAGACAAGAAAACCAAGAATACATTTTTACCAGAAGAAATAAACATTCAGCTTTTCCTTGAACTCAAAATACACTGTTGCAAACACATAATGAAAATTGACACACTTTTCTGCTTTATGACGCTGATATAACACCAACTTCTCTTTACTAATTTATAAGGCAGTGTAAAGTAACTAAATGGGAGAATTGCGAATCAGATCGTTATAACGGGATTTTTATCTGAGGAATGAAACATCGAGAGACACCGTAGGAAACATAACTACAAGTCAATAACATGGTGGAAAGTGGTAAATGGTGTGTGTGGGCTATTAGTGACGTGGAGTGTGAGCAAGGTTTCTTGTTTGATGTCAATACAGCGCACTGAAACTATCGTTTAAAACGAAGAAAAAGCTCTTGCTTTACCTGGAAAACGCAAATGAGCTACATCTTTTCCTATAGATTTCAAATAATCTACGAGCATTTTGCACTGTGTCGATTTGCCACTTCTATCGCAGCCCTCGAACACCACCAAAATACCACGACCTCTTCGCGCTACGGAGCCCATCATTATTCACAACAATCATGTAATAGTCTATACGATCCAAATAAATAATCAAACTGTCTCAGCCGAGGAAACAAAAATTAATGTTAAAGTTTTGGCGGGTTTATGGAGGAGAAAGCGGCCCCAGTCTTTTTCAGCATCAACTAGGAAATAACACGTCACGCAGTGTCCCACGTGACTCTAGCTTTGGTATGAACCACAAATATGAACTGTCGATTCTCATACTTTCCTGCTATGAGGCAAATAATGGGGAACATTGAAAGCTATTACACCTCTTAAGAAAAAGGGGAAAAGAAAAGAAAAAGAAAAAAAAAAAGGTTAAGCCGGAGATCTCGTGGGTTCCAACCGGTACCAAATTAAGGGTTATAATCAGTTTCAGAACTGCGAACATCGTCTTCGAATAAGCTGAGTGTCGGCCTAATAAAATGAAGCTAAAAGAGAAAGATTTGTAGCGCTCTCAGCAACTGTGGCACATATCCCAAATCATGACGGATGATTTTGATTTTCTCTATTTTCATGCAAATTTGGTTTTCAAATTAAAGTACAAAGCTTTTTTACCGTTTACTTCAACTGACGGTTAAACAAAATCACAAAAATAAACTAAACATTGTTACGAAACCCACCTAATCCAATACTAGAAATATTCTTACCCAATTAAAACGTAGCAATATCATGAAGTCAGGAAAACATTGTTCACGTAAATGCAAATTTTAAATCACGAATTTGAAAAAAGTTTGTATGCAATTACCATGCCATTCTAAGCATCATACCGTATCATGATACAACTCCCATGCTCGGCTTGCATTGAAAATAAATCACACCAGTCCCAGATGTTTTATGTGTATTCTAGACACGAGATTTATTTTAGAATCAACCTATAAATATTGATGACTTTTAATGTCTTAATTTCGTTCAAATGGCTTCCATTAAGAGGAATTTATTCCTTCACTATCCATTGCAAGCTCGATTGTTATCCTCACAAGGTAAAACAGAATTTAAATAGTTATTCTTACAAAGAAATAAAGCAATTACTAGTACACAGAAGGGAGGAATCTGCTCCTTTTTATCGCCTGATTAAAGACAAATGTTTTCTTGTTCATTTGAACATAGAATGTCTTAAGCCACTTGACTATCACGAACACTAAGCTTAACCAGAAAGTTTTTCAAAAAAGTCACAGCAGTGTAAGCATCTTTATCCGTCAGCTGTATCGATATTTGATTTCTTTGTCGAAGTCTTGGTTCAGATTTCCTAGTTCATCAGTTCTTGCTTGCTGTTGTGTAGACGTAGGCGATTAACAATGCAAACAACCCAAGTAAAACAGGCAACGCCACTGTTAAAACTTTTTGATGTCCCTCTGCATTTCCATTTTTTCTCTCCCTTTTCATTTTCCTTGTTTCTTTGGACGCTTTTCCTGGTAACTGCCTCATATTTGGTTGAAAACACACCAAAAGAAGACGTCGAGGAGTTACTAAGTTGTTAGATAAAGTTCTCTGGTCTTCTGTCACGCTACAGTGGCGATAACGACAACATGACACGTCATTCGTTGATTTCAGAGCGACCTTCTTTCTGACCAGCGGTAACTTTCTTGGAAAAGTTTTAGATAAGTGTTACAGTCATAAGGTGTACTCTGTTGTATATGAAATTTAAAAACTGTTAGTCAGCTTTAGCTGTGAAGGTTAATAACCCAACGATACACTGATGATGCCTTGATGGTGACACTTGAGTTGCTTAGTCGTGTGAAACTTTACACTTCACCGTCCTAGAATTAGGAGTGAAGGTGTCCCTCAGCCAAATGTCTTAGTAACTCATTGGATTAGTATATCAGAAATGACTCTAGTTACGGACTGCAGCTGATTAAAGCTATATCCTTCTCTTACCGCCTAAAAGAAACTTACGGGTGTGACATTTTTTCTTACGGTTGTCCTTGAAAAGGAGAGTATTTTTTTGAGGCCACTGGTATTGCACGTCATTAACTCCCCTTCAAGTGCTCATTTTACGAGGGACCAAGAAAAGTTTATAACCATCCATCAAACAAACGAACTTAAAGCTGTCAGCTAGTAATTTAGGAATACTTTAGTAATAAATCACCCATAACTTATTTGGACACCTCCCTAACCGACAATAATGGGCAAATTGTTCAACAAATCACAGCTATGTGTGTGAATTTAAACCAATCGATGATATAATAATCACGTCTCACAGTAATTACTTGAGAAGAATTTAATTTTCTAAAACACCAGACTACAACTTAAGAAAATATATTACCTGTTCGTTTAACTTTACCCTACCAACCACCTGCTGCATAATTTATTACCATCGTCAGATCACGTCACTAAACGGAACGACTTGATCTCGGCAAGAGATTAGTTTGTTTAGAAAAAGCCACTCTTTATGTCCTTGATATTTTCGTTGCAATGTCCCTTCCTTTTTACAGGAAATATGATGTTTTGGGAGAGTTGTTCGAAGAACGTTGATAATGGATTCATGGATTACTTGTCCCTTAATCTTCCTATTGTGGAGCCAAGACTGCTTGTGCACCAACCAACAAAATTCTGCAACAAAATTCAAGAACTACACAGACATAGCGCTGGAGTTCTTGAAGAACTATGAAGTTCAGGCAACAAGGATTTACTCTGGCGAGAACGAAGCGGCTTGGAATTATGAAACGGACTTAAGCGAGAACAACAGGAAACTCTCCGTTTTAAACGCGACTTTCGCTAAAGCATTCAGTGTTACTGCCAGCAAAAATGCTTCTCTCATTAAAGATGTTGACTTATCAAACGATATGGCACGCCAAATTAGGATCATTCGCCGCAACGCCCTTCCTAAATCACCAACAGACATGAAGTTAATAGACGACCTTATTTCAAATATGACTAACATTTATAGCAGTGGAAAATTATGTACGAAAAATGAATATATCAACAAAACCCGCTGCATGGAACTCGATCCAGACCTCAATGATTTAATGGCAAAGTCACGTGATTACGATGAGTTGTTATGGGGTTGGAAAAGCTGGCGAGACAAGGTTGGTCCTCCGATGAGACCGCTGTACGAAAAACTCGTCGTCCTTCTAAATTCCGGAGCTCGTGAACATGAATGGGGAGACTACGGAAATTTCCAACGAAGCGAATATGAAATGGGAAATGACTTCCAAGCAGCTATCAAGAAGTTATGGAATGAAGTCCGGATGTTATACCAAGAACTGCATGCTTATGTGAGGTACAAATTACGTGAGAAGTACCCTCAAGTACAAGTAAATGGGAGCATCCAGGCTCATCTTTTGGGGAACATGTGGGCCCAGGAATGGAGTTTAATCTATGACATCGTACAGCCATTTCCCAAAGTTCCATCTCTGGATGTTACACCGAACTTAATTAAGCAACAATACACCCCCAAAAAGATGTTTAAACTTGCGCAGTCGTTTTTTGTTTCCTTAGGTTTGGATCCAATGCCACAGGCGTTTTGGAATAAATCCATTATCACAAAACCTAAAGGAAAACAGATAGTCTGTCACCCTTCGGCCTGGGATTTCTGCAAAGGAGACGTTCGGTAAGGGGAAACAAAATTAATTTGTTCTTGTCATCAAGAGATAAGATCGACCTCAGGAAAATAAGCAATACCTACACATGAAAAAGAAAAGAGACAGAAAAATACGTGGGCAGATAACAGACTGACTTACGGATTGAATGTCAGATTGATCAGCTGACTGATTGACTAACTGACTTATTGACTGACTGGCTAATTGACTGACTGACTAACCGACTGACAGGCTGAATGGCTGACTAATGAATTGACTGACTCGTTCACTCAACCACTCACACACTTACTCACTGGTCACCTGATGCACTAGCGAACTGATCACGTGCTCTCTTTCCGACCGACTGAGAGACAGCTCAAAACTGGGAATGAAAGAATGAGCAAGTAGGCAAACGAGCGCGCAAACGAGTGAATGAGTGAATGAATGAGCGAGAGAGAGAGAGTGAATGAGTGGATGAATGAGCGAGAGAGAGAGTGAATGAGTGAATGAATGAGCGAGAGAGAGAGAGAGAGTGAATGAGTGGATGAACGAGCGAGAGAGAGAGTGAGTAAGTGAATGAAAGAGCGAGAGAGAGAGTAAATGACTGGATGAATGAGCGAGAGAGAGAGAGTGAATGAGTGAATGAATGAGCGAGAGAGAGAGAGTGAATGAGTGGATGAATGAGCGAGAGAGAGAGAGAGTGAATAAGTGAATGAATGAGCGAAAGAGAGAGAGTAAATGAGTGGATGAACGAGCAAGAGAGAGTGAATGAGTGAATGAATGAGCGAGAGAGAGAGAGAGAGAGAGTGAATGAGTGGATGAGTGGATAAATGAGCGAGATAGAGTGAATGAGTGGACGAGTGGATGAATGAGCGAGAGGGAGAGAGTGAATGAGTGGATGAGTGAATGAATGAGCGAGAGAGAGAGAGTGAATAAGTGAATGAAAGAGCGAGAGAGAAAGTGAATGACTGGATGAATGAGCGAGAGAGAGAGAGAGTGAATGAGTGAATGAATGAGCGAGAGAGAGAGAGTGAATGAGTGGATGAGTGAATGAATGAGCGAGAGAGAGAGTGAATGAGTGGATGAGTGGATGCATAAATGAAAAAAATTAATGAATGAACCACTTGATCAATCAATTAATAGGTTGACCTGATTGAATTATAAATCAACAAATCGATATTTCTTTGGTCGCAAGTGGATCGTTGCGTACGTATTTATTTAAGACGCCTAGACAAATTTTAAAATGAGCCAACGGGATATCACGAATTAAGCTTTAATGTGTGTTGCAACTACAGGATAAAGATGTGTACAGGAATGACTCAGGAACATTTGATAACAATTCACCATGAGATGGGACATTGTGAATATGACCTCGCATACAAGGACCTTCCGTACGCATACAGAAGTGGTGCCAATCCGGGATTTCACGAGGCCATTGGGGACACAATTGCACTCTCAGTGGAAAACCCAAAGCATCTTAAGTCCGTGGGACTACTGTACACAGTTGGAAATGACTCAGGTAAGTAAGTGCTTTGAATTCTTTAGGCTAGATCTAAAAGGCGCAGAAAGGCCCGAAACATTGTTGTGTAGAAAAATAAATGCCGGGTTTGAACCCAGAGTCATCTGCGTCGCAATGGAGATGTATTTCACCCTACGAGTCATTATTGATTTCAATTCCCATGCTTTTACCAAACTAAGCTGTTTTCCAAGAATTCACTTACATACGCAATAAATGGTCTCGTGAGATTTTTCAATTTATGTGAAAAAGAAAATTCCCAAGAAACTTTACATCCCTGTCGTCAATATGCTGTGCAGACCCTTAGTTAGTTTTGTCAACGTTATTGTTGCAGAAGCAGACATAAATTTTTTGATGATGCAAGCCTTACGTCGTGTAGCTCCCCTTCCTTTCACATTACTTGTGGACCAGTGGAGATGGAAGGTGTTCTCGGGAAGGATCACGCCTTCAAACTACAATTCAGAATGGTGGCGAATGCGCATGCATTACCAAGGTGTCATGTCACCAGTCCCTAGGTCGGAGAAGGACTTTGACCCGGGGGCTAAGTATCACGTGGGGGCCAATTACCCTTACATCAGGTAATGTGTTATAGAATGAAAAATAAAATGCATTATAGTCGAGCGTCAAAAACCAAAATTAGAGTAATTACTACAACCAATCAGAGCAAAGGAAAATATCACAAGGAGCCGGTGAAGACTCGAGCAGTCAAACTGTCTGAAGCGTGGGAAAACGCGGTGACCGAGTGGTAGTTAGTTTTGATTTTGTATTTGATTGGTCGAGAGAATGGCACAAGTTTTTTTGGGCCAATTACGGAGCGAAGGGCTGCAAAACCAGTAGCAACCGAGTTGATAATGTAAATTGTTTCTTAAGTTAAAATTTTGAACGCTATCCCTTCGTCCGACCTGTAGTCTGAGCTGTGATTTGAAACACTCCAAAATTTTCAGCAACTTTGGTTTTTTCAGGAAAAGGCTGTTGATTTTCAGTCGCCACTGGCTGTGACCGAAAGATAACCAGTTGCAGTTCTCGACAGCCGGGTTCTCTTTAATAAACGCGAATCGAGCGCCAACCACAAGTCCCGCAAACAGCGACTTTTCATTTAGGCACTGATTTGAGGTTTCATTTGATGATTCTATTTCATTTTTCATGCTAAATCTATTGCTCTGTTATTTTTGTCTACAGCTATTTCGTGTCGCTCATCCTCCAATTTCAATTCCATCGCTCACTTTGTAAAATTGCTAAGCACCAAGGGAGTCTACATGAATGTTCAATTTACAAGTCAAAAGAAGCAGGCCAAAAATTCAGGTACAGCTCGTCGATTCTTAAGTTAATCCGGTATGAAAAGACACAATGAGAGAAGATCTACGGGAAACAAATCGCTCTCGACTAACCAGAGAGTAACGAAAGAAGATACCCTTTGATATCCTCAAAATTTAAGTTTCTTTCGAAAATGTAATTCTCAGAACATTGATAGGTTATTGGACACTCAAGGCGCCTCAGACATAGTTTTCTTCAGGACTTTTGAAGATAAATTAATTATTTAAGGATATTTTGTAACAACAACTGATTCTGACCTAAATAGGGCGCTGTGTCGGTGTAAGATTGAAACTGCACATTTAATCTATATTGAATTTACAACAGTATGACTCAATCCGCTTGTCATTTTTATCCTGAAGAGAGATGCTCGTCGCCGGGCGAAGCCGCCCTTGGCCCCAGACCCTTTACCACTTAACAGGCGAGCGCGAGATGACAGCTAGCGCTCTATTGGAGTACTTTGCCCCTTTACAACAGTGGCTTGTCAAGTATCGCTTGGAAAAGGGATATCCTACCGGTTGGAAGAAACGGAAGACGGTTTCAAATCCAGTAGTAAATGGCGCAAGAAAAACTTTGTCATCGACCAAGTCGAATTCATCCATCACAAAACCTCAAGTGCTCCCTAATGAAACACGGTCAGACCTTAAAGAGAAGGCTTCAAAACCCAGCAACAAGAACGGAACTGCCGATGTGACATTTCCGGAAGTAAAAAAAAATGACGATGCCATTAACTTGGGCAAACCAGATTTAAAAGCTGCCTTAGCAGCCATGGGGCCAGTACTAAAAACCTCAGAAGAAAGCTCAGGCAAAGACAAGTCGCTCCTTGACCCCAAGTCTGACATCTTAGGGGCTAAGCCAATGTTTGTTCCCAATAAAATCAAAGATCAATTAGTGTTAGGTTAGGTGTTCCAGGGATCCATAAGGTAACAAAGATGCAAACCCCCTTTTTTTCTCTGAATGAATTTCATTCTGATAAAGTTGGTCTTGGCGGGCAGTGCGAGCGGAGTTTTGGTGAATATTTCAAAGGATTTTTAAAATTGTTCTCTCGTCGGTAATTATGATATTTGATTATGAAACAGACTAGTCCCGCCACATAGTAACCGTGTAACCGATCATAGTCGAAGAGGACTAGCTACAATTGGACAAAAAGACTTAAGGGGTTGGGATCGAGCCTTTGGAACCATTGACTGAACCTTTCGTAGTGACCATATAGGTCAAGAGCGTGAGCTGCAAGACTAACACATGCGTTGGTGCCTCAGATATGGTAGAAGGAAGAGGATTAATTACCCGTATGTCATACAAATAAGTACAAAAAATTTCCCGTAAATTTATTACGTAAAATATAATTTTGTAAAATAATACTCTTAACAATAAACTGCTTGCTAATATCGGTTAAAAGTTTTTTTTTCATTTCACTCTGTACCAGCATACTCTGCCTTCAGAAGTATCATTATACTGTCAACTGGATATTGAACTATTGCCTCAACTAATTAATCGCTCACTATTTTACTCTGGACCTGTGAAGATTTTGTTAAAATCTCGTCATGAAGTCTTCATTGTCCTTAATAACAAAAATTGCCTTTATGAATGAATAATTAAAAGTTGCAACTTATATCTCCAGAGTGAATGCCATTTCAAACCTTGAACGAAGCAATAACAAGCTAAAAATTGAGAGGTGTATGCTTCAGCGATGGCGAAATTAAGATGCGTACATGACAACAAGATGAAGAATAGAACTGTTTCACAATAAACAATTTTTAAAATTTCAAGAGGCGTTTGCCTTGATAAAAATGGTCAAAAAACTTAATTTCATATCGAAGAGCAGAACAGCTTATCTTCAAATAAAAGGGTAAAAAAATTTTATTCATTTTTGTAGCCGTCTGACAATTGTTCCCTCGACAATACGAAAAAGCTCTGTATTAGCTTAATTAGACCAAATCATTAGTTCAGGTATGTTTTTACCTACGATTTACTGAGAAAAGAGTCCACAGCATGACGAAACTGAGATAGTGATGACCTACAGCGTTCAAGAATTGTTCCAGTTCTAATCCAACTAACTTACAGATAAGTGCCGCTGGCATACTGGCTGCTTGCCATGGCTGGCCTGTTCCTGCGTACTCCATGTCCATTCAGATATTCGTACGGTTCGGGGTAGCCTTGTCTATGGGTTTTGTTACTTTCTTTGGTGTGTTTTCTGTTATCTTGAAATCGTTCTTCTGGCTGAGGGCTGAACCATTGGTCTTTGGTTGCGTTTCGATTGATGTCGTATTCGTAAAATACTGATTCATCTTCCTCAGGTCCTCTTGTATCAATTGCGTAGGGAATTTTCATAGGAGGGCGTTGCTCAGGTTCATATGGGTGTGACAGCCCCCTGTGTTCATAGGGTTCCGGGTACGGTATAACTCCCCCGTTAATTTCCTCTGCGTATTCATCAGTTATTTCTTCATAGACGTCTTGATACCCGATGAGCGTACCGTCATTGTCATAGACTCCAATTATTCTCCTTTTGTAGGAACTCTCCGGTTTCCGTGGTGGCACCTGGTACGGATCTGGATATCGTTCCATCTGACCGTCAAAGTCGTCAAGATACTCCCCACCTGGGGCACTCTGGTAAGAATAAGCCTCCCGTGGGGCCTGCAGTGGTGGTTCCTCCCAGTCGTACGGTGGGGGTTCGGTCCATCCTTTTTCACGTGCATTTAGCTCCTCAGGATAATAACCTTTGTTATTTTCTACACCGTTTTCTGGGGGCTGATCGTATACATCATTGTACACATCAGGTGGGTCGTGATGGTGCGCATGCGCATGTAAGAGACCATCTAATTTGAACTGATCTTCTTTGCTGAATGCCCTAAATCGTCCTTCGGTCACCAACTCCTTATCTAATAGATCTTCCTCGGGAGTCTGCTCTGGTAGATTGATATTTCGGCTGGGTACCGGTTGAAAGGCTCCTCCACTGAGACGCACACCGGAAGCCTTGAGAAATGGGAACCTTTCAGAATCAACACTCTTAGGAAGCTGAGGCCTAGGTAGGGCTTGGGCGCTTACAAGAATTCTCTCTGGATCGGCAGACGGGGATGTAAAATTGAATTGTGGGGCACTTTCGACTTGTGGGGCTGAGTAAACAACAGGAGGAACATCTTCATCGTCACTTTCGTGAGAGAAACTATCCTCATCGTTATCTTCTGGTTCGGATGCAGTGAGTTCCACAGGGTGACTAACCAGAGGGTTTCCCTCTGAACCATAGTCCACAGTGACTCCAACAGGCTCTCCGATTACAACAGTTCCTGGCAACTGACTGATGGAAATCTCAAGCTCGGAAGTACTACGCCCAAGCCCGGGGGTAACAACACGGCTGCGAACACGTTCTTGTACAAATACACCTAGCTGCACCTCAGGTTTCCCTTCAACATCAATGGTAAGTGACGTGGTTTCCGGTGTCTTTTCCGGTGCCACAACAAGACCAGCTCGGAGTTTCTCGATTTCTGTGCGACTTGCCTGATATCGCTCATACAGGACCTGAATTTCTTTAGACAGTTCAACAACATGAACACTGAGGCTCTCCTTTTCCTTCTCACATTTGTCCAGTTGGACGGTCTTCCCATCGAATTTTTCCTTCACTTCTTTAACACTGTCTTCCAGGAACCGGATGCGATTGTGTAGAACAGATTCGTCCTTCTCTGAGGCTGGTATTCTGCTTTGGAGGAGTTGAATCTCTCTCTCTAGCATGATTATCTGGTTATCTTTGTCACTGTCTTCCATCTTCTCATTCAGTTCTTTTCCTAGTTTACTAATTGTCTCTTCTCTTGTTAAGAGCTCCTTCTTGATCCATTTAGCTTGCTCTTCAGCCTGCTGTTTCTGTTTAGAGGATCGTTGGAGCTCGATTTCCAGCTGAGTGATTCTTGTATGTGATTTGTCGAAGTCCTTGCTCAACCCCTCTATCTCCATGTTGGCCTGGCTCAGCTTTATCTCCAGCTCTGCGAGTTTTTCTGAATCCTTTCGGAGATCATTTTGAAGATTATTCTTCTCCTTCTGTAAGGAATCCTTTTCATCTTCAACCTCGTCTAGTTTGAGTTTCAGAGATTCAAACTTTTCCTGCCAACCCTCTTCACTCGTCTGACGAAACAAAGATCGCCTCAGCTCTTCAAGCTCAGCTAGATGTTTTTTGCGTTCTTCTTCTTTCTTTCTTAGCGTTTCCTTGAGTTTCCCGAGTTCCTTTTCCAGGTCTCCTGTGTCCTTGGTGAGCTTTAGTTCCGAAAGTTGTCGGCGCAACATGGCAGTCTCGCCTTGGGCATCGGTGAGTTCACGTCGAACCTTGTTATACTTGGTCTTAGTTTGCTCGTGTTCATCATCGTTTCTTTCCAAGTTTCGTTCCAGTCGTTGCTTCTCGATTTGAAGGGAATTCTTCTCTCGCTTTAACTCATCAAACTTTTCCTTCCAGTTCTCATCACTGTCTTTTCTCCTCAACTTGGCTTTCAAATCCAATATTTCGCCCTCCAATCGACGGATCTTGTCTTCTACTTCCTTGTTCTTGCTTGTCAGTTTTTCTTTCTCAGTGATGTGCAAATCCTCTTCCTCTTTCAGTTCATCGCCAAGATATTTAATTTCTTCCTTTAGTTTGTCGACTTGTTTCCCTAGATCATCGTTGTCTTTCTTCAGGTCATCGTTTTCATCACACAGGGTGTTGTACATCTCTTTTCCTTTATCGAATTTGACTTTCATTTCTTCCAGCTCCTCTTCAACGTCTGCTTTCTTTTCACAAAGATCTTCCTTCTCGTCTTTCAATTTCTTTATATCATCCATCAGCTTTTGGTATTGCTCTTTTAATTTCTCATATTCTTCGCTTAATTCTTCGTCAGTGTCCTGTGATTTTAGCTCGAAGAGTTCCTTCCTTGCTTTTTCTAGCTCCGCCTCAAGGTATTCTTGCTCTCTTAGTTTTTCCTCCAGGTCACTGATGGTGTTTTTATCCTGAGAAAGATCTTTTCGTTGCTCATTTATCAGGACTTCTTTCTCTATGAGCTCCTTTCTCATCTCTTCACACCGATCGGTTAGCTGCGTGATGGTCTTAGACAGCTCCTCCGTGGTCTTCTTAGCTCTTTCTTCAGACTCTTCCAAGCATTCTTCAACTTTTTCTTTCTCTTTCTTGGTGCGCTCCAGAAGCTCTTCGAGTTCTTGTATCTGCGATTTGGAGTAGTCTTGACTGGACCATGAATCTCCAGATTCCTTTGGAACAACAGCAAGGTTAGGAGTTTCTCCAACCGCAACTATATGCTCTTCAAAGTCATCGAAATCACTCAAATCATCCTCATTAGGTGCCAGTGGAACTCTCTGGACAACTTGAAGGTGCTCCACCACAATTTCATCTGAATCTTCGTCCTTAGGTTTTTCTTCCTCTATGTATCTCTCAGCCAGTTCGCTCTGTAAAGAAATCACCTCATCTCTTAGTTGCTCCAGTTCTTGTGTAATCTCTTCGTTTTCCTCTCTTAATTTACTTAGTTCGTCGTCATCATTTCCGTCCGGCTTGTCGAGGTCCTCCGCAAACCTCGACAGGTCGCGATCTTGAAGGTCTTCTAGTTGCTTCTGTAGTAAAGCAATATCATCTCTCAACTCTTCGTTCTCAGCCTTCAGTGCCAGAATCGTCTTTTCCTTATCAGAGACCTCTTTCCGGAATAGCTCAGCGCGGACATGGGTTTCGTTAAGTTGCTTGGTGCATTGCTTGGAGTCCATTTCGGCTTTGTTCTTACTATCCACGAACTGTAGGTAGAGGAGTTCCTTTTCTTTGCAGACTTCTTTAAGATTCATCTCCAGCTGTGTTATCTTCTTGTTTTGAATCTCGAGCCTGTTGGTGCCTTCGCGGAACAAACTTTCACGGCTATCTTTCTCTGCCTCTAAACTACTTTCCAACTCGGCGACAAGGCCTCGCAGTAAGGACATTTCTTTCTCAAGCTCGATATTCCTCGTTCGGCTGTTGTCGCAGTTTTCTTCTGACTGCTGAATCTGCACGTGATACTCCACAATCTGTTGTTTCATCTCCTCAATAATGTCGTCATCGGCCGACAACTTAATTTGCAAGTCCTTCAATCGCCGTTCAAGATCATCCACTTCGACTCGCAATTCTTCTTTTTCTTTCAGCAGATGATCATTTTCCGTTTCGATGTCTTCGTATTTGAGCTTTAAAGACTCCATTTCCAGCAGGATATTGTCACCCCGACCACAGTATTTACATATTTTGTCGTCGCCGTTGCTGTCACGCAAATCGTTTACCTCCACTTGCAATTTTTCGAGCTGCCTTACCAAATCATCGTTTTCTTTTCTCCTCTCATCAAGCTGATCTTTGAGATTTTCGTTATCCTTTTCAATTTCGTCGGCTTTCTCCTGTTCTTCTTTATAGCCACGAATTGTCGCCTCGAGCTTTTCAATGTTGATTTTTAAATGATTATTTTCCTCCACAACCGTTTTGATCGTTACTTCATGCTCTGAGAAAGTCCTGTGATAAGAATACGCTGCGTTTTTCAATACGCCGATCTTCTCCTCGGTATTTTCACAGGCGTTCTCGAGGTTGCGTAGTTTCTCGCGAGTATTTCTTAACTCCTGTTCAAGCTCTCCTAGCCTGTCTTGTGCTTCGAAGAATCGTGTTTTGAAATCTTCATCGGCCGGAAACTCCTCGACTGTAACCCTAATCGTTTCTTCTGTAGTCGTAGCATTAGATGTCTTGGAAACATAATCTGTTTTCTCTCTTCTTATTTCGCTATCGTAAGTGCCTTTGACAGGATCATGTGAGATTTCACGATCATTCGTTGGAGCAATCGACCCTTGGTTCGATGAATGGGCTTCCTTTGAGTCTGACATACTGGTAGGTTGTGCTCTGCTGCTTTGACAGTGCTAGAGTGAAACATTAGAGAAAGTCAAGCGCACTATTTCGTAAGCAAATATCTCACGTTCCAGGGTCGTGTATGTACACGCGCGATAAATGACAAGAATTCTGTCACGAAGAAGCCAAAATCGGGCGACGCGCGATCGTTTGTTCGATAGACTGATCCAATGATTCGAAACGCAAACGAAACTAATAAACCAGAAGTCAACAAATTGTGCCACAAAATAAACACGACCATTAGCAGGTGACACGCTAGTAAAACACCGAAAACGTTCCTCAACAATTCTCATTTACGTAAGACCGCAGAGGAAGATGTAATCTCCTACAGTAGTTCTCAAATAGCAGACGCCTGTGCATAACTAGCCAAGAGTAAATATCAACAAAAGCGCGTCTAAATTGAAGTATAATGCGAACCGCGAGATGTTTTCGAGTTACAATACCTGTCATTTACGACGTTTGTCAATCGCGAGGAAGTTGTAGCATGTGGTCGTATTTTCCTTCGACGAGAACAGTCATTTGTGTTTGCTATGTCGTTCCGCATCTAATTTTAACACATACGCAGGCAGCTCCCGTGAGAACCGTAAGATTGACCACTTACTACAAAGGGTTGCTCAGCCAATCTATAAACTACTTGAGCATAATTTGCATACCAATAAAAGCTCAGTCACGCTCGAAGAAACGAGAAATAATTCGGAAAGGAAATCACGCCTAGATTATAATTTGGATATATCAACAAAGTTGAAATAGTAAATTGGCCACCGTAACGATTACAAAAGCTGACGTTTCGAGCGTTATCCCTTCGTCGGAGCGAAGCCAAACGTCAGCTTTTGACGTCGAAACGTCAGCTTTTGTAATCGTTACGGTGCCAATTTACCATTTCAACTTTGTTGATATATCCAAATTATTTCGTTACCCCCACCGACGCAGCCCCAAACAGTTTCTTTCGAAACTATCAGCCTTTATTCATGCCTAGATTAACTCAGCAAACGGCAAGGCGAGGTAAATGATTTTAAGAGTTTGAATATGCAAGGAATTAAAATGCGACATTAGGGTATCAATGGTGCGATGTGTCACGCCACTGATCATCAAGCATTAGTTTACGAAAGATCTGGATTGATTTAACCCATCTTTTTATTAACTTGCAACTGATATGCTGGAAAAGAATCTTTCATCCTACAGCGAGGTAAAAATTTGGCCGAGGTTTTAGACAGTTGCTGTAAAGAAAATTTAAAGTACTGTTAATTGATGTTAATCACTTTCGTAATCTAACACGTTGTCGTTAAGAGAGTTAACATACATTCTTTGCACTTTTGCTCCGTGAATTCTTAGGGAAAAATCCGAGGCCTTGAAATTGAGACGATAATGGGCAAGAGCTCGCGGTGTGATCGAAAATCAGTATCTAGGTACTGCATGCAGCTATAAAGACGTTTTCGTAACAGTATGTTGGTCATAAAAATGCATCACATTTAGAATTTACTAGCTGATTTTCACCACAATGCTTCATCGTTCACAAGAAACTCAGAACATACTCGTTCATGAAACCGCAAACTACTTTTACTTTAATCTAGCCTCGGGGTTCAAAAGTTGAAAAACAACTAACCGATATAGCGTATCACAAATACAGCATTTTCTTCTGGGGTACCTGTGTCGCGCGCGTGGGAGGGAGGGAGGGGGAAGAGGGGGCGGTAATGCGCTTCCAACAGCTGGCGTTTAGACTGACAGGGTGGGCAATACGATTTTGAAACAATTCTTGTATACTTCTTAACCTTTCTGTCAAATCTTAAGACTTTTAATTACAATGAACAAGAAATCGTATGATTGCCACAGGCATAATTGAACGGCTCAGGTAATCTCTGCATATCACTTCCTTCTTTGGGATGTTTAGCTTTCAGGAGCCACTGTATCTTCAGTGTTTAAATTCAAGGCCGATTTATATTAGCACTCGATCAGAAATTAACGACATTTTAACGTCATTACGGAAATTTAGCCCTAAGATTAGTGGCTTCTTGTGTCTTCTAGGATCTTAATTGAATGCTTGGCGCAGCTGGCTAATGTTATTAATAATACTTCAACGCATGAGGCTCCTGCTGTGTAATCCACTTTTCACAGATCTATTACCTTTGATTCTCTCCGCTGTCTTTGAAATCTGCCGCGACATGTAAGTAGGAGCGGTTTGTAAATATCAATGACCATGAATAAACACAAGCGATTCTTGGCGTGAAATTTATGCTTGGCGGAGGGACTGGACCGACACACGAGGCTTCCAAGATGGCAGTAAGTACGATTTTATATTATCAATTAGCTCGAAGTAGCTGATATAAAGCTAATAAACGATATCTCTTTTAACTTTTCTTGGCAGGCTGAGGAAGTGAAATTACTTAGTCAAATCTGAGTGTTTCCTTGAAAGCACGGTGACGAGTAAAGATTACCGATAAGCGATAAGTGTTTGAAATCTTTGTCGTGTGTTGAGCATTGAAGTTTTGTTCAGTTTTGTTTTTGTTTCGTTTGTCTTGTGCATGTGTTGATATTAAGGTTACTGTTCGTAGTTGTTGTGGTGTGTAATATGTATTCTATGTTGATATTTAATTTCGCAGAGCGATGATTAGACTTGAGAAATGAGTTTCAAACGTTTCTCGTTTGATAGTGATTGTTAACACTTGATTTCTGAGCTCTGTGACAGTATGGGTATTTTTGTAGTACAATTAATGGACAGATATCCGGATAAGCCCTTATTATTCTAACAAGAAAAGCCGTAATTCCAAAGGCATCGAAATTTTTTTCCGTTGTTTTCTCTTTCTAAGAAATGTAGACATCATTGAGTATTAGGCTGTGTGGAAATCTTTCCCAGTTCTAATCTAGTGGTAACTGTGATGGTATGCTATACTCTTTTTATGATAGTAGCTGAGTATTAGATTTAACATTAAGGCAAACTTTTATGTTTTTTTTATATACATATACCTATAGGAAGTTTAATATTAAGTCAAACTTTTATGTCTTTTTTGATACATATATAGGAAGTCTGTGTTTCAATTTTTCTATATTACAGTGCTTGATACATAAAAGTAGAGCACTATATATATATATATATATATAAGTTAAAGAATTAAAGAGGACGTGTCGATTCTCTGACTCTGAGTTTCGCGCCTAAGCACTTGTCAGACAGAACTTCTGTCTGACAAGCGCATAGGAGCGTAACTCAGAGTCACAGAGAATCAACACATCCTCTTTAATTCTTTAACTTATGTATACTTAGCTCTGCTACCACAGCATTGAGCACTTTATGCTAAGGTAGACTCTTCCCCCACATATATATATATATATATTTAACAATTACTCCATGAGCACACATTGGATATGAGATGATAGATAGCCAATGAGGCACGTAGCACCAAGTTGGCTATAATCCTTTCATATCCAACAAGCACGAGCGGAATAATTGTTTTATTAAAAATGCCCCTAAGATATTAGACAAATCTAACCAAATCTTAAATTTTTTAGCTCCCTTTTAATTTTAACCCGATGTGTACGCTTACCATATTTGTAGATTATGGTATATTGGCTCATATACCATTATGGCTAACCCAATAAAAAGTCTTGAATTGCATTATCCAATGATTCAGTTTTTAATAAATATATATGTGTGTGAGTGTGTGTTTTCATTTATATATATATATTTTCATCCTTTCATCAAGATCACCGTACAATGGTCAATAAATGTAATGAATTTGTGTCCTCGTGGCACCACAGAGACAAAGCATTACTGTGTAACAACTGAACAAAGCAATTCAATTTACTGCCATGCCTTTTATGCTAATTTTTTATTAGATAAACGATGGTTACAAATATTCTTGTCAATAAAATCCCCTGAAGAGTGAGTGATCCTGAAACAGGCTTGTAAGGATGAAAATGTAGTCTTTGTATTTTCTCAACATACATATTTTCATCAATATAAATATGATTTTACACTTTTTCTCTTATTTAGATGTGGATACATTTTGAGGTATATACCATAATTTATAATTATAGTTCTGATCACCATTTCACACCAGTTCCCTCTGGGTTCAATTGATTGGTTTAATCTAGATAGATAAAGAAGATGATGATGTTTATTATTGTTATTATTATTAAACAAGGCCCAAGGTAGAAAGAGGCTCTTTGAAAGAAAAGTATATTTTCTCTTCATTGATGGGTAAGGAAGCTCACACATCTGGTAAATCTAGGGAGTCTCTAAAAGACCTTTTTTCATTAGTCTATTTTTGTATTCTGCCACTAAGTAGTGGTACAACAACAGTGCAAGATGTGTCTTTTGTATTGAAGCTTCACCAATGATAAAAGCACAACAAGCTGTAGTTAGCATTTCTATTAGTTAGGACTTCATTCGATGGCTATTTTTTTTTTCTAGAAGGCTTAATACTGACCCAAACAGTAGCTGCACAAGAAGGTCAATAGAACACTGGTAGCTTTGAAAAGTCTTTGTTTATTCACATTTGGGTGATGAAGCTTCATCACATTTTGTTCACATCAGGGTAGAGAAAGTTACACGGCTGAATGTGACTGCTGGGTTTCTCATGTACAATTTGAATACAGTATGTAGTAAGGATAGAAGAGATGTACTCAAATGAATTGAAGCCAGTCCTGATTTAATTCAAGGGTAGATTTATGATTATTTTCAAACTAGCTATACCATTTGGTAGAGTAATATCTGATGGAATGAAGCAACAATAATTCAAAAAGTCCTGTGAATTGTGTATCCCTGCTTATGCAATGTTCCTATAAGACTTTTAATTTTGATTTGGTGAAAATCTCTATTTTTTCGGTCAAATGAAGAGTTAATCAGGTGCCTTCTGGGTAGTTCTGTGGGTAGAACAATAATAATTCTTATCTTTTGCATTTGAATTCTTTGGCTTTCTCTGGTAGTACTGACTTGTTTGGTTCAAAGCTTTTGATGGACTTTATCACTGTCCAACGTTTAGAAAATGATTGATATTCAATAGCGGTAGCTTTGTTTCTTGTTTTGTTGAAGATTTGCGCAGAGTTTGTGATGGAAACCTTGCTTTAAACTGTCTCCTCTGCCAATTGGAGTTGTTCATGACCTGTAGAAATTTTTTAAGATTTTAACATAAGAGATCTTTAAAGTTACGTATGGTGACCTTTTTTACCTACCAGAGATCAGTCATGTTGTTATTGGTGGATATTTTGTCTGCTGTGGTACAGATGTGACACCTTCGGCTTGTTATGATTCATGTTGCCATGTTATCATTGCCAGTCTCAAAGCCTTTGTTATTTCATATCCTTTTTGTTATAAAAAGAAAGCATTTTATTACCTAGCAGCGATTTTTAACTTACTGGTAGTTTTGTAGACTCGTTTTGTTCTTCATTTTTAGCCGACTCCCCTGTGACATCCACCTTTGAAGATTGACCAACTGCTCCTTGTCTCTGTATTGCTTGGGGTAACGGAGGTTGTGCAACAGAGCGTGTGGACTGGGGAAAGTCATTTGCTAGGGAGGGTAGGGCAACAGAGTGGGTGAGAAAGGGAAACTCTTGTGGCAGTGTTTGTGGTATTCCTCTACTTTGTTTTCTCTGTCTGATGAACGAGGAAAAATGAGTGTCAAGGGTAAAGTAAATAAAAGAGTGAGAATTGTAACTGGGTGATGAGAATATCTTGAAAAGCAAGATAAAGAAAACTGTGGTGAACTAGATGTTAATATTGATGACTGACAACAAGGAGAAACTAAGGATGACTGGGTGGAGAAAATAATTGCGGTGACAGAATTTTTATAAGACAGAGACTTGAGAAACAAATCATCAATAAAGGAAGTAAAACTTTCTTTCAAGGTCTCTTGTGGGAATTCCTTTTATGGTAAAATCTCCCGAGGCTCACTTATGCCACAGTTGTTTGATGGTTATTCCCTGTGACATAAATGTGTTTTCTTTTCTTTAAGTAAACAAGGATTACATACCTCTGAGGTTCTTCCATGTTATCAAATGTGTTCGTCAAATCTACAACTCTGGCATCTACATGGAAAACTTTGTCCGTGACCGCCTTATGTTTGGGTAACGAATCTTGTCTTGACCAGACCTTTACCTTTCCTCGCGTCTTCATCTTGGTCTGAAAGCCTGTCGAAGGGATGGGTTTATTGGGTGTGGCTCCAATTATCATCATCCCTCCTCCCTGAGAAACTTGTACCGTGGACAGCGGCATTCGTCCGCTGGTCTGACAGCTAGACACTTGTGAAATAATTGGTGTGAAAAAGGAAGATTCCTAGAAAAAGTGATGTTGTTAGCATTCTTCTTTATACCAAACTTCCTTTGCTTAGTTTTTATAGTGCGCGCGGTCTTCTTTGGTGCTTGTGTATAACGGAGCATTTTTACCTAGGGTCCATGCTCTCTGTATTTTAATTAGAAAAAGGAAACAAAATTTACAGAGAAACCGCGAAACAATTTTGTTGGCTATGACCGGGTCTACGAGAAAAGTTTCTTTTGCACTCCTTTTCCCTTTAGTATCATTTCGTTGCTCGTTTCAACTCCCGTCCAGACTTTCTGGTGAAAATTCAAGGAAAAGCGCTCGAAAATACAGGGCTTTGAATAGAATACAGGGCTTTGAATAAAATACAGAAAAAATAGCAGAGTTACGCAATCAATCTGTGTCGCAGCGATCCCGTGTTCTCTTTGTTTAAACGTTGCTAACGGCCATCAGAACTTTTTTTTTTTTCGTTAAAGTTTATGGTTATTGATCGATTTCACGGTCCCTTTTGCAGTTGTTATTTTGTTTCGTCGCGTGGAGAAAATACGAGCCTCGTTAAACAAACCAACGGCTTCAAAGGAGACTTGTAGTACAGTAAATGGTTTCAACTCAGGAGAAACATTTGATTGCGTAGTCTGACTGTCTGTCTGGGTGAGAATGATTCCTGAGAAGGACTGTTGTTGTCGGCAGTAGTGACTGACGTTTTGAGGACCTGAGCGGTAGTCATCATTAGAGTCGTAGAGTGAAGAGTTGTCAGTCGAGTGTTAAAAGTCTTGTTCCTGTTAACTGATTGGTCAATTCAGTTTATTGGCTGTCAGATTCAAGGAGTGTAAGTCAGTCGTGATTGGCCAGCAATTAATCTTATTACTGATATGAATTCTAGCAGTAAGAGTGCGTTACATGTCACTGTACCTCAGGGTTAATGGCTGCCTCGCCCTCTCTGGAAGAGAATTTAAAATACCTTAGTCTGGATAGAAAATGAATAGGCTGTGGACACTATGCATTTTATTTCTTGACCCATTACTGAGGACTATGAAAATTTTTCCGGTTTTAATTTGCAGAAATAAGTTCCCTGAATTATGTGAAATGTGTCCATTAGGTTAAATCGCAAAGCTTGTAGACAGATCTAATGCCCCCCCCCCCCTCCGACACTGAGCTTCAGCAGGTGTATTAAATGTAAATGTAATGGCAGAAAGATAATTTCTTACTTATATACCTGGTTTTCTTTGCTTCTTCAAGCCTAAGAAGAACCTGGAAAAAAGGCAAGAAAGAAACAAATATATTTTATTTGTTGTCATGAGTCGAAACGTTGTTTTACGTGCGATTCAGACTCGTCCCAAGTCCCCACCTATTTACTGGTTGGGCCGAGCCAGCATCCTTTTCGATTATACCGGTAAGGATCCATACTTATCCCCAGCCTTTTAACATTCGTTATCTAAAGGCGACGAAAATCGGGGATAAATAATCGTGAGGGGAGGGGGGGGGGAACGGATGTAATCCGTTCACGTTTAATTCCCTCCCAAGAGTTGAAAAGTTTCGTGGAGTCTGCCCTTAGAGACTCGGCTTCCCATAGCCGGATAGCTAGACTTGACTTATGTGCCTCTGTTGAAGATTCATGGTCGATAAAGGAAAGGGAACATTTTTCAGTCCTCAATCGAGTTCGCTGCCATTTGTAACCCACCGAATGAACTTTAAAACGTAAATTTTCCTGGAAAATGTTGCGAAACGGAAACTGAGCATTTGGCAAACGGTTTGTGGGATTCTCTGTTGGACCAAGACGAGATAAGGGCCCTATTATTTTATCTTGTTCAGACTTGATGATTAGGCATTTCCTTTTTTAATAGCAGCAGGCCTAACACTGATTTCTGGTCGTTAGTTGAATATTGCTTACTTGTCTCCCGACGAGCGGTACTTCACCTTTTCTCTTCGTATGATCAACAGTTAACCGTCGTTTCTATTACAGAGAGAAAGAACAAAGATTAAGAATAAAAGAGGAAAGAATGTAACATGAAAGAGAAAATACGAACAAACAGGAAAATTATAGCATGTTCTGTAACTGCAGTGAGAGATATTTTGTAGTCAATAACTCCATGAAGTACAAACGAAAAAGGATGATCAGTTAGACATTGTATTCGGTTCAAATTGTTTAATTATTGAAATTCACCATCGTCCTCGTGTTTTTTTGCGAGTATGTAGATTCCTACCTCCCTTAGTGAAAGTGAGAAAGTGAATGATTCGATACCTTAATAGCAGCATAGGCTGAATTGCTAAGGTCTACAGTGTTACTAAGGTCTACAGTGTTGCTAAGGTCTACAGTGTTACTAAGGTTGAGATCGGACGTCAGCATTATCAGGCGCCTCTGACAGCCGCTTTAGTCCATGAAACGACGTCACCTTTTCCCACACATCCCACCCCAGGGGAGGACATCCATCACACAATAATCTCGTGCATGGGAAATTAACGTCTCCTACCCCTAACCCTGCAGGAGACGGGACCTCCATTTATTCGTCCTTATCCGAGAAGACTAGAATATCTAACCATTTCATTGATGCTATAGAAAGGTAGCAAATTCTCCTCAGTTATTTTAGGATCATGAGTATTGGTACCTCTGGTAAATTGTGAACTGGTAAAATAAGAGATGTTTTAAATAAAAGTACAGTGCATTTGTCGAGGAAAAGTGTATTGCGACGTGGACTGCGAAAATGTTTGCAATATAAACAAAGGATATCTCTTGAACAGTCGCAGTAGAGATGGAGACAGACCTGGACAGAATGGGAACTCAGTGCCGCCCACTACTTTGGACGAGTTTGAGCGGGAGCCTCAGAAAATTCTATGTCGGGTATATCAGGTCGAGGCTCATTGATGATTGTGTGGCATCAACCTATCTTCTTTTCGGCTCGCTTTGAAACCGCTGCCCAGTTAGCTCAATAGATAGTGCGCTGGACTGTTTTGCGGGAGGTCGAGGGTTTGAGCCCCGGCCGGACCAACACTCAAGGTCTTAAAATAATTGAGAAGAATTTGCTACCTTTCTATAACAACATCAAGAAATGGTTAGATATTCTAGTCTTCTCGGATAGGGACGAATAAATGGAGGTCCCGTCTCCTGCAGAGTTAAGGTTGGAGACGTCAATTTCCCACACACGAGATTACTGTGTGATGGATGTCCTCCCCTGGGGTGGGATGGGTGGGAAGGTGAGATCGATATGGACTGAAGCGGCTGCCAGAGGCGCCTGAGAAAATGCCGACGTCTGTTCTCAACCTTAACAACATCTCATTGTAACAAACCTGTAATTCAGCTCTCTGCAAAAGGTTTGAATAAGCATCATAGTAGCATCATATTAGTATCCCACGTGGGGCACTTAGACAAAATTAACAAGGTTGGGGCAAGATAGTACATGCGACTGAGGAAGAGAGGTAACAAACTTCCAAACTTATAGCAAACTATGAGCCGATTTGTAACCTAAAGCCTCAGCTAGGCCAGAATGTTTCTAGAGTTTTTGCATCATACTTACTCTATATTGTGGCTCATCGCTCACCACCTTGGTTGCCCGTTGAAGCGCTGTGAAAAAAAGTGTTTTTATCATCGTTGGATCTGCTCGGTATTTAACTGAAACCTAGCGGGCGCTCGATGGGTACAGTTGTCTCCTAAGCTCGAACACTGAATACTGAATGAAATAATGGTTCATTTCACTCCAGCTTCACAGTCGCGGAGGCAGCGTGGCCCGCGAGTGGTCAGCGTGAGACTCGCAATCCGCCGATCCGGGTTCGAGTCCCGTTCAAACCACGACCTGGATTTGTTTCACGAGATCCGAGTTCAAATCCCTGGTCATGCTTGTAAATAGCCAACTGGTTTACCTCCGGCGAGTTGGGATTCTTAATAATGTTATGTTCAATTTGATTAATTTGTTTCAGTTATTTGCTCGGCCCCACCAGTACTAGTGTGCTATAATCACTGCTGTGGGTAAATAAAGGTATTTATTTATTATTATTATTATTATTATTATTATTTCATTTATAGTTCAACTCACGTGGGAGTTTATTAATTGTATGTCCCTTGGCAATTAGTAAATGAAATGAGTTGGCCACAATGGTTTGTTCTCGTTGGGGGCTCGTCTGTCCAAAGCTGTTTTGGTGTACGTGATAAAACACTTATGGTTCACTTACTATCAATAGCATGTTGTGCCATCACTGTCGGCTGTCCCTTCGCTTGGTCCTCCCTAAGCAGCGACTCTGACCCCTCGGCGCTGGGCACATGTGAATGGGGCTGGAGCGAGTGAACAAAGTTATTCAGCGTACTCAATTGACTCTTCTCGAAAGTGTGACCGGGTTCTTCAGGAGCTTGTTGATTAGAGAAGAAAGTGTTAAAGCGCAGGTCTGGAATCCCTGGTTCTTTCCTGTCAATCGTGTCTTCCTCTTTCGTGATTGCCGTGTCACGCTCCCCTGTCACGCTATCATGCTCTTCTACCCTCGGCACTGTTTTCTCAGAATACACCACTTCAGGATGTGTGCTATCCACTTCAGCGCTGATAATTTCTGTCTCCTTGCCAGTAATTTCGTCTTCTGATATTTGATGTTTAGACGCCCTCGAAATGGTTCCGCCTCGCTTCAACTGTAATGAGGAACGTTGTTGTTGTTGTTCTTCTTCTTCTTGTTGTTGCCTCCTTTTGTTCCCAACCCTGCTTGGTCTGCCTTGCTCGGTTGACGCAAAAGCCCTGAGAGCTTTAGCTTTATCAATCTACAGATAAAAACAAGAAACAGCGAAATCAGAGATGGCATTTCTAGTAACCCCGCTCAATGTCCCTTTAAACTTGCTTTGTTTCGCTCCAAAAGATTAGGAACGGAGAAAACAAATAACGGAATATGCTGATTGACTCGGAAAGCATGACAAAAGTTTCATATTGACACCAAATTTATTATTTCACGTTTGTACTTCCCAGTCTTTCACTGGATTACCGGAATATTTTCAGCATCAGTAGACTCCAGCATTTCTATGTCTTTCTCGCCGAGGTGTTTCTCCGGCAATGTTCGCGTGGTCTTCGCTGTTGATCGAAGTAAGAAATTATCATTATGAAAAACCTCGTCTCTTTTGAGGAAACCAACAAAAAGTCAAAACAAAAAGCAGAAAAAACAGCAAATTATATATACCTTCTTGCTGAGCAAGATCATATCCGTATTCGACAAATCGAGATACTTCATCACAAAGGCGGTCTGCCTGTATGTACAAAAAAAAAAACAACAACCATAAAAACAGCTGAACTTGCAAAAGATACCCATTTGTTCCCTCTAAGTCCTTTCTTCTGACTTAGGTGTGGTGCACATGAAAATGTACAAATTGCAAATCGTTTGTCTCGGGTATTTCTTCATGACGCATCGACTTGGTATCCAATGGTAACCTAGGATTTTTCTTACCGTAACATCAATGCATAGTTCCAGTCCTTCATCTTACCTCGTCCTGCGGCGGAGGTGGTCGTGAAACAGATTGCTGCTGACTTATGCCTTCGTACAGCTTACGATCACACTGGCTGGTCTGAGTTCCCTTTAAAGAAAATTCCTTCAATATTAGCGCAAATGCCATCTACAGAATCTTACTATGCATGCAGTACTTACTTTATTAGCAAGTGTGACCACGTTTGCCTCTCTTACTGTCACGTAAGGAGCCTTTTCCTCCCTACATTCACCCACAAGTGAGTTAACTCCTTTTGATTTCCCTCCTTGCCTCTCCTTCTTGTCTCTCGAATCAGCTGCTTTTCGGAGTTTGTCAACTTTATCTTCCTCTTCCTCGATACTTTCATCCCCTTCTCCATCGTCACGTAACAGATGTTCCTCTTTCTTTCCTATACTTGACTTTTTTATACTTCTAACTGCCTTCCTTTTTTTCTTTCCATCCGACCCTGTTTGATCCTCCTCTATCTCTTCACCAGACTCTGTGTAGTCTTCGGAGGAGGTCTGGGTTGGACCCACAGCTGTTTCATTGAAAAGAAAAACAAGCACTGTGAGGGCTTTGAGCATCAAAAGCCAAGCACACTGCACAGCAGTAAATCACCAGTGCGCACGCTCTGCTCACACAAGCGATACTCTATGAACGTGTATTTGCTTTCAGTTCGCGTGCAGCTTGCAGATATGTTAGCGGTATTGCAGTCATCTCGTACACAGATCCCGCCATATGACTGAAATGTAGGACGGCCTGGCCTTGGAAGGTTTGAGCACGAGCCGAGTATTGCAGTCATGTATATTATTAGTAACAAATTGAATACCTTTAGTGGCTGGTGTCTTTTTAGACCACATTTCGGCATGCGCTCTAGCCGGCGTCGATGCAGATTTTGCAGAGGTAGTATTGTCAGATTTTGCAGAGTTGGTATTGTCCTTAAAGAAACAGTGGACCAAGGTTGTTATATACACGAGACATGCTGAAAACGCGTTACATAACACATGTAATAAAGTTTAGGTCTACAAATTTTCAAGCATTTTTGTTATAGATACCTTTTTCTTAGAAGCACGCAGCTGCAATCTCAACTTGTTCAACTCTTCCTCAGTGTGCGCAATTTCCTGTTCGTTCTTCTTTATCTCCCCTAACTGACTGGACAGTTGGGCTCTGTAAGAGGAGCAGTTGGGACACTCTTCAGCAGAAGACTTAGTCTTAATATTCTCGACTTGACTTGGTGGATCAGTACTTTTAAATGGCTTTGAAAATGAACAAAACCGGAAATTTTTATTCTCATAGATCACTGTGTACAATTCAAATTTGTTCATGAAATTGCCCATGTCCTTAATAATAAAACATGAAAATTACTATTAGTTTCAATTATCAAATAAAAAGAGTTCTCCAGACCTTTTCAGCGCCACCTAAGGATTCCAGCTTTCTTTGCAGTTCTTTATTTTCCTGTAGCGTAGAATTAAAAAAAAAAACAGTGATAACAAGATAGAATAAGACATTTCACTTCCGAGTCCCTGTTTCTAGCTGAGCCGGCATTTTGCCACTCACCTTCTCAAGTTTCTGCGCCTTCTTCCGCGCGTCTCTCACTTGAGCCTGCAGTATGTCCGTGGAGGCAAAATCGTCGCTTGGACCGACAATAGGTTTCGTCTATGGAGGATGCAAGCAGAGAAAAATATCATCTAATTTCAAAATAAAAACCATTTTCATCTTTTCTAATGAATCATTTTTAAATTCTTGGAACTTTTCCTGATACAAATGAGGAGTTTTCGAACTCGACAAATCTACAATTAATAATACAGGGACTAGCCTACACCTTCCTTTCAACAAATTGGCAGAGTTTAAACAAATCCTAACTATCTTTATTGTGGCCACAAAAAATAATTAAAACTGGGAAAATGGGGGGAATAGCTTTCCTCAAGAAGTTAATCCATCATTGAAAATAACATTAAAAGCTTGTTTTAGTATACTGGTGTATTGATACTTCAGTGCCACAACCATCATCGGCGTTACTTAAACAAAGTTAACCAATGATGTTGGAGGAAATGAACAATTTATTCTTTACGTAGGCGACGGAGTAAGCACGAGGAACCATCTGTTGTCTGAGAGCCGCAAAAGAAGCACTCAATGTTTAAACATTTGCCTGGTATCCACGGGATTTCTCACCTCTTCTGTTTCTTCGGTCAGGTCAGCGGTTACTGCTTCACTGATTGGAATATTGTCCGTTTTTTCAGCGAGAACTTTGCGAAGATGCTACAATATGAACAGAAACACAGACAGTTCAATAATCGATTTGACTTTCCTTTGTCGGATTCTTTTCGAAATCATATTCAGGAATCACTTTCTGGCAGCTTAAGGAGGCGTTGGCGCCTTCGCATGCACAGACGAGCGTAAGCACAATCACGCATGAGAATATTTGCGATAAAATAGAGTTGGGCGGCATTACGCATTTCAATTCTCGTGGGCATTTTTACCTGAAGGGCAGAAGCTAAATCTATCAATAAGAACTTTGCCAACCTGTTTACACTGCCTTAGTTCAGTCTGCTTTTTTTCCAGTTGGTCCTCAGCTAATAACTTTTCATCGTACATACGGGTTTTATCTTTCTCCAAGTTCTTCTGGCTCTGCATAATATGATTTGTAAGTAAAAGGGTAATCTGTTTAGTAACTTAATAGCATTTAAATAAATGAACGAATAACTAAATTTGTAAATAGATTGCAACAAGAGCAATGTATCTCATGAGAGACTGGATAGCAAAAGAAATGACTCGTTGTATTATTTAAGAGAAAAACACTACTTATAGTTAAAAAACAAATAAACCCCTATCCTTAGATAAAGAGGATACCTGGGCCTCCAGCGTAACTGAATAACACTTCTATAGAAACTTGTGACAAGAAAATAAAAGGTAAACGAAACAAGTAAAAGCATGAAGGATAATTGTGTTATTTCTTTGTTTTAAGGTTCCTGGGAAGTTTACCTTTAGGCATGACTTGATGTATTCGATGTATCAGGGAAATGTTGGATGTTCCTGCACTTATATCGTCTATATAGATGCCTTTTTGCATAATTGACTTGGAACCAAAAACATTTTTATAGAAAAACTAAACCCTGTGAGATTTCCTAAAATGTTGAGAGATGTGATCGGATTCAATCTCTTGTCGTTTCACTTACTTTTTCGTGTTTGGAGATGTCTTTTTTCAAGCTGAAATAGACATTCATAGATTAATAAAAATGAAGATGTGAACAGGGGTGAATTTGTGTACGTGTTTCTCTTTTAACGTGGAGAGAAACCAAAACCTCCATTTCGAGATCGTAATTTTAAGTTTGGCTTGGCTGTGAGGTCACATGACTGTGGAAACTACTGTAAGCTGGACTGTTAGCGCACTGGAGAAGGCTGAGGGGTCTGGGTTTGAGACCTGGTAGGGTTGTCGTGTTGTACTCTTGGGCGAGACACTTTGTCCTCGTAGTGTGTCTCTCCACCCAGGAGTCTAATCAGATACTGGAAAATTGTCAGGGAAACCTGAAACAAAAACACTCTTGAGGGGGGAGGAGGTTGGGTGGAGGGTAACCCATAATGAACTATCATCCTAAGGGCGTAAAAAGGCTCTCATGATCTCAGTCGCTTCATGTAGCGGAAACCACGATAAGCTCCAGGGTGTGGCTCACTTGGCTGGAGGATGGAGTGCTGAATCTACCTTAAGGTAAAGTCTGTTTACGAGCCTAGTGGCCCATTAGGCCGGTGCTTAATTCCGGTTTCTGTAGCAGGAAGCGACTAGGAGTATTTCTACTCCCCCAGTCCATTGCAGGGTACCCATTTATATACCTGGGTGAAGAGAGGCACTGTGAGAGTTAAGTGTCTTGCCTAAGAACACAACGTCCCGGCCGGGGCACGAACCCAGACCACTCGATCCGGAGTCGAGCGCTCTAACCATGAGGCCACCGCGCCTCCTAACGAGTCTACCTTAAGTTGATGCACAATGCGCGCGAGTATTACAACATTAGAGTTGGTTCTTTTTTCTTGATGAATTTTGATACCACTGTAGGTGACGTTATTAAGAATCAGGAAAATTCTTGAACTGCTGAACCATAAGCCACTGTAATTTTATTTTCTGCTCCAAGAGATTGGCTTCCCGGTGTAAATACTTACTTTTCGATGAGCTCATTTTGATCGTTAAGAGTCCCCATGATTTTTTGAAGTTCCTTTTCTAAGGACTCTTTATCTGTGAAAAATATAGCAGATTAAACATAGAAGTCTACAGACTCGATGTAAGAATAACAATACTAGAAAAAATTAAAACGAAAATAATCTAATGACAATTTTATTGACGATGATGATAATGGTGATAAAATATAAACGTTAGCCTTCATTTGGCCAGAAAACATTCATGGATATTTGTCTGCGGATACCATCTGTTTCAGCGAGACACGGACACTTATATGAGCTTCGAGGAACAGATATTGTCTGGGAAGCTGTGGTGTTTACCATTTGTTAATCTACGAGCAGCTTACTGCGTGCTGCGTGGGATGTTTAGCTACGACATTAAATGCAATCTTCTTTAACAACTGAAAAATGTTCTACCGTATTGAGTTAAATTTCAGGCAAACTTTTATCGGAGTGCTAAGGTTAAAGATTGCGCAATATCACCTGGGGGTACATCCCCGAATACAATCCAGTTTTAGCAGGGGCATATTCTGTCACGCGAGGCGATTAGGCCAATCGCACGCGAGCGAAAACATTTAATGAGTTATAATAATTGATATCTTAAGATATTGATATTTTTATACCTCTGCCGCAGAAAAGGAAGGGCAATAAGTTAAAAATCTGGAGATTGTGACACAAAAAATTATTGTAGTTCTTTTCTCAAAGTCCCTTTTATATCGATAGAACAAAATTATAACGGGGTCTCAGTCCCCAGTCTTACCAAAATTCCCCTCGTATCGCACCGTGCTTAGTAAGTCGACCATTTCACCTGCCACAAGTTTCCATTGTTGTGTCTCATTTCGAACGCTTTCCCCTCCTGTAATAATAAAAGAAACACTATTACAAAGCCTCAATATACTGAGATTTCACAACGAAAAATACCAGCTCTCTTAATTGGTTATGGATAACTGACTACTACACGGTTAGTTTATTCACTAGAAAGGTTACACTGAAGAATCCAAAACTTGAAGTGATAGCCCTCTTCGAGGGATCTGAGGGAGGACTTACTTCGGGCGAGCACGACTAGGGTCATCCCGGAGACATTCACGAAAATTATGACGGAATCAGCATAATGGACCAATCATGATGTTTGTTGAAGCCCTGATCAACGATAATTCACCTTTCATGGAAAATCTTGCAAAAAAAAATCTCGCAAGAAAAGATCTCGCAAGAAAAGATCTCGCAAAGAGAGAGTATCTGAGTTAACTCTTCAAACAATTAAAATACAAGATAGCATTCATTCTGGTCTGCTTTCACTACAGTATTATCTACATACGAATATTGACCAGGAAAAAAGAAAGCTTTTGCCTCAGAAGATTTTTTGCAAAATTACTTGTGAAAAGTTCCTTTCTTTGTTGCGCGGCCATCTTTTTTTGAATCTGCAGCTCTCGTTCCAACTGTCGCTTTTCTCTGGAAGAAAGAGATTTTTAACAATGATCAAATCTCTCACAAGGCTAAGGTCACTCTAGCGATGATCATGCAGATTGATACTTCACGTTGAAAGAAGGCTATGTACAAAATCGAAATAAAATATTAAGAGATACGCGAATGTCTGTATTCAGCAGAAATTTGATTAGCAATATTGTAGTTCGAATGAGGCCTTCAACTATTGCCAAAAGAACCCTGAGATTTGCCAAGGCTGCAGGACAACGTGCAAAGATTACCGAGATTGGCCAAGGGACGAAAGGAGTTTCTCCTTGTTGAGCAAAAAATCCTCTAAACTTTGCCTCTCTCCCATGATGTGAATTCCTTGCTCAGTTGGTGGTAGCGTCCAACTAGCATCTGAGAAGCATGAATTCGAATTCTGTCGAAGCCTGAATTTTTCAGGCCTCTTTTTGACAGTAATTTGTCCTCACTACAACTACAATCTTAACAAACAAATGGTACATCTGCTTAAGTAACATGTTCATGGAAAGGAAATCACAAGAAGAGGCTGAGGAAGGGAAAATTTGTTCCGCATGAAGATACCAAAGTCTTTTACTCCTGGACAAAACAAGCTTAGAATATAGAGCGGATGAAACAGTTATTTAGAGGTTATGGTGCAGATGTAGAGCCAAACATACGCCTCTAAAACCCTAGTGGCGTCTCCTTTTCTCGATACATCAACCATTTTTTGGTTGAGTTTCTTCAATTTGATGGTAGTGTCTTTCACATTTTGGAACGATTCCCTGTAAAACAAAAAAGGATAACCAACGTGAGCCCGTATTTCTAAGTTAGTGTCCTCAGTATACCAGAGTATGAACTGACGTGTTACTTAGCAAATAGGTTAAAACAGACTACATAATCATATACTGAGACAAGCACGAGGAACAGCGGAGCGAGGAGTGGGGTAGGGTGGCTGCAGTTTTACTCGAAATGAAAAAATTATTTCTTAGTGTTTATTTATTTATTTATTTATTTATTTTTTGTGGCACCAGCTATACAGTCCCTCTGCCTGTCTTCGCTGTTCGTGAGGAAATATTTTACAGTACACATACTGAAGTGCTCGCTGTATACCCTCCACGTCTACTGCCTGATGTTTTTTGCTCATCGCCTCCAGCTGAAACAAAGATGCGCATGACATTTACTACAACTGAAACAATGCTAACATCCTCCGATCCAAGTCACATATTCACAGGTGTTCTTCCCTTGGATTTTGACTCACTGACGGAGAGTAAGAAATATAAGCGAACACTGAACAAAAACCTGAAAGTTACCTCGTCTAAGATTTCTTCTTCGTCAAATTCAAGCGACTGTAGGAAAAGAGCAGAGAATAAAAAGTAAGTCAAAACTTCACATAAGAAGTGAACTTGCCTTTCATAATGGCAAGTTAAAATGCCATAAATTTTCCGATGCAGACATTATGTATAACATCGGTGTGTTACCTGCAGTTTCGGGTACGATGTTTGCACAGCCGTGAAACGTATTTTATTACACGACGCGGGCAGTCAGAGGGCCAATAACTAAAATCAACCAATCAAAATGCTCTATTGCCGGTCAATATTCTCTCAGTATTGGACCGGGCACCGTACCGAATGGTCCCGAATGATACCGCACTTGTGTCCCTTTGAACTTCAGTCGTATCATAAATCTCTTATTAACCAAGCTTGCTCGGGACCGTACTGGAAGAATATCGGCCCTCGGTCTTTTTTTGTACGGACCTCGCCGCGCTCGGTCCGTACTGTCAAGACCTCGGGCCGATATTCTCCCAGTACGGCCCTCGCGCTTGGCTAATAAGGTATATGTAATAGGACGAGACCAAAACGATAATACTTACATCTTGAAGGGAATTCAGTAACTGCAATGAATAAAGCAAAATTAACTCCTACTCTCGATGATCGTCGTCATTAATAGTTAAATATATCCATCATAGAAAGTTTCCTTGATTTGTAGGTGGCTTGCGTCGCAGGTATGAAACGTCATGTTAGAATTAATTTCTTCCTACATCTCCCCTTTGCACATTAACCACGCAGGTAACGTTGGCACAGATCCAGAAAATTGTGCTCCAAGTTTTGTGAGCTTAGAATTATCAATGTCACAGTGGGTGCAACTGCCTTGTAAGCCGGCGAGCTAACGAGGGATCAGTTGAATTGTACGTAGCAGGTGAACTTAACAATTATACTGCGGATTATTTTTATTCAGTTTTGTGGTGAACTTACCTCTTCTCTTTCGTCGCACAAAATTTTGTAGTCACTTAACAAAGTTTCCATCACAATCTGAATGGGAAAAATGTATCAAATCAGCGTATTGAAATTGGATGTGTTTTAGATTTTAGATACTTCAGTGTTGTAGTTTTGCGCATTACGATTAGAAAGTGAGAATCAGAATCAAATTCGATTTCAGATGAAGTTTATGTTAAAATATCAATATTTGTTTTTCAGGGCCGGATATTTGCCATGGAATTACGGAGTGTGATCACATGCATGCGTCTAATGGTTTAGTTTGTTCCCGTTGATTGGCGATAGCCTGACAAAAACACAACCATGAGAAATGAAATGACATGAAGAAGAGAAGATAATTTTAATAATAGCAAAGAGAAGTGTGTGATACTTGGCCTCTGAGATGTTCTTGCTTGGCGGCGTATCCCTGCGGAGATTAAAAAAAGATATTTAATGATTGCGATCAAAGCTCCCTGAGGCTACCACAAGAGGCCACACACACATGAGTAACAATATAAATAAAGAAAGCTGAAAAATTAAATTTAGAAAATTCGAGTTTCTTTGACTATCATAAGGTTGTTAAAGATTGCGGGATAATGTAAGGGGTATCCCTGTTTTAGGTCATGATGGGTATCCTGTGCTTCTTGTTATTTGTAACACTTTTGTGAATTCTATGCTTTCAGATTTGTCTTTCCCTAGCTAATAATAATTTAATATTTATATTGCGCAAATTAACATGTGGATATGATCAAATGCGCATCACAACACTGTTTGGGGGACTTTGGCCGGACTGCACCAGCAGTTTACCAACAATCGAAGGAAACTTATTTGAAGATGCCCTCTCCCCCCCCAATTCCCAGTAAACAGACCAGACCACATCACAGTAATCTCATGAGTGGGTTATTTAATGTCCCCTGCCTAACCAAATTAACTAATGAATAGATGTAGGAGCTAATACTGAGAAGTACTACCTGATAATCTAGAATATAATTTTATGCAAGCTTATTGTAATCAAACTTAACCCTTTAAGTTCTAAAAGTAATCAGCATCTAACTTCTTCTTACAGTCAGTTCTGCTCAATCACTCATTAACGTGAGAATATCGGAAATGACTGTAGAAAGTTTCTACCTTTTTTGAATTTCAATTTCATGTTTTCCTTCCCCCTCCGTGCTGTTTTGTTCTTACGCACGACGCGCGTGATTTTTTGGTGAACTGGCCAATCGCGTCGGGGACTTTGGCCTTGGGCTTGACATTGAAAAGAGGTTGGCGTGTACATTTTGCTCGCATATCTTAGTTGTTTCTGCTTTCGGGGTTTAGTTTTTGGTTGTTGTCTTTAAGTTTTCGTTCACGTTTATTTTAATCCCTCAGTTTGAAATTTTTACGAAGTGTAAGGAGTTTCATTCAAACCGAATGTTGTGATCATTTCAATTACATATTTTCTACGGAGTTCAGACTCTACTTTCTTTTTCGCTATTAAATTTTTTACAATGACCGCCAATTGTCAAACGAATTCACCTTGTCAGAACTAAAGGAGTTATGTAGAGAAGAGTATGGAGAATATGGACACTGATGTTGGGCTGCAAAGGGTTCAACAACCATTTATTTTATCACTGACTTTACCTTTGGATCTTTGTTATCGTACGTGGATTCATAATCCCGTAGCAACTGAAAGATCAAAAACCAATTTCAAAAACTGCAGGTTGTCTGATTAAGACATATAACCCATATTTTCAAGAGTGCGACTAATAGTAAATCCCATGGTTTAAACTACATGCCTTGTCTCATCTACTGAGACTGTTGTTTAAGTAAATACATGAAAACATTGTCACCATAAAACATCGTCACCATACTTTTTAGGCAGTGTAGTCATTCAGGAATAAAAAGTTCCTTTTTAACCATTCAACTGTAGTTCTGAAACAGGGCAAACGGTATCTACTGAAGCTAAATCAAATTTGAGCTTGGCTTATCATTCAAACTTAACTCTCAAGAATCTCTGTACCTATCATTAGACATTCCTAACTCTTCCCGACCTCCCCCCCAAAGGGAGCTTTTGCATAAAGCTTTTCACCCTACGAAGCAAATATAAATTATTTTATCTTTGATATTCTATTGACCTTTGATATTCTATCTGTGATACCGCTGAACTCCTGGCCGAAGTAATCATTGGATTTCTGTTTTCCTATTCCCACTGCATGCACGGTTAACGGCAGACCAATCTCACTCTTAGCAACTTTCATCGTATCTTTCTCCTTATCCTGTGGTGAGAACAGGTCTTTTCTCCAACTGGCTTCATACTCGGATTCCTGGTGGTCTTTGAATAACGGCACCCTTTGGAAATCAACTTTGTTGATGGGAAGCTTCCCGTTTTGTTTTATCCTTTGCCCTTTACCATGTTTCTGCATAGCGTATTCGTACCTTCGCGACATTGTGTGCTCGGCAGAAACTGTTTCAGAGTTAAAAACTAAGACCGCTGTAAGGAAATTTTGTTGATCACGATGTTAATCGCCGTGTGTGCCCCGCAAGGGATTCAATTGGTAAAGAAAATAAGTGCTACATGTTTTCTTCAAAAAGACCAATTCGTCTGGCGACACTGCGCGCGGAAATCCACTTTAATGACGTTAGATGATTATGACGTCACCTACGTCATTAGTTGTCTTAATTCTGACGAAAGATTTCTCGTCGTAAACTTGAAATGGGGCAAATGGGCCATTCCATAAAGCCACTCAGTATTCTTGGACGAGGGTAAGAGCGAATGAAGAAATTAATTTACAAGAAAAGTTCTGCAGTTGGCCTTAATGCGAAGGTCAGTGTTTTTGAAACTCTGAAATCTCATAAATACTACCGCACAGTCACTTACACAGAAACCGGAAAAAAAATTAACTCATACCGAAGTTATTTTTCTTGTTTATTATTTTTAAATTAAGTGGCTGTTGACTGAACTGAGTCACTTTCAAATTTCCAACTGCCGTTCTAATCTAGCCAAAAGAATTGCCTCCAACCATGATCATTGTGTGGACGTATAGAGATAATTACCCTACCCCCCCCTCCCTGACAACTCTGAAAATTGAAATATTCTTCTGGGCAACCGACGGGGTATTTGTGGGCCCCTTCAGGTCAATGCCTAAGTTACATAATTCGATTCTCAAAGGATTCTAGAATTCTTAACAGGCAACAAGTTGTCGTGACAAAATACATCAATTTTTCGAATGGTATTGCAAAGTGGAATTCAAAGAGGTTTTCAATGGGTTACAAAGCAGTGAAAAGCAAAAAAAAAAAATTCACAACTTAATATGTTATGAAGGGATTTTATTTGTACAGCTGCAGAGCACAAGAATCAACTTAAATCCTTGATGGGTACAGCATCTGCAAATAGAAAGAAAGACTGCATAAGATTTGTCAGATAATTTTCCATCATACATGTCAGTAACTGAACCAGTCCTGATAAGAAAATTCCAAGAAATGTTCCTACGATAGCTCAAAGACAATAAAATATTCTGAGCTCTGTTCAAGTGTAGTTAAACATCAAAAATGCTAACTCGTGTAGCATTTCACAACAACATATATATTTCATCACAGCTCAGAACTTCCATATTGTCCATGATTGAATTAGAGACTTGGGCCCAGGGTTGAAGGAAACAAATTACACTGCTGGCTGAAACTTCAATTGAGGTGGCTTAAAGATGGTGAATGATTGTACGTGTGTAACCTCACAAGTACCTGTTGTGCTTTACTAAGCAATTCTGGCTAAAAATTGAGCGAGCCATGGTCCCTTTTTTATCCAGAGAAATTCGTATGCAGTCAGCACTTAGTAACAACCCTGCAGGCCACATCCAAACATTTTGGATTTTTAAAAACAGATATTTTTCAATGGATTGGCCTTGTGTATACATTAATGCAATGAAAGCCACCAAAGGAAAATATCTGCTGTGACCTTGTAGGCAAAAGTTAAGATATTGTTCCACCAGGTGGAATTAATTACTGACCAATCTGAATGACTTATCAAGGATATAAGTGTTTTCACTTGGTTTAGGATAATAGATAAACACTAATATGCAGTGAACAGTTCAAATATTTATGACAAATACAAAAATAATTATCTGTGTTAAGCAATTATCAAATAAAAGGTGAGTGTGAAGAGAGCCTTATCTTTTTGACTTCTAGAGGTTACTTTAAAAGACCAAATTTTCCTACTTAATTTACAAAGTATGCGCTGCAGTCAGTGGGGAGAATCACTTCTCGGATCTTGGACACTACAGGAATAATTGCAAGAAAATAACTCACCACTCTAACGGTAGCACCCATTGCTTTAGGTGGGAGGTTATGCCTGAACTTTGCTCGTACAACACCACTGTTTCCATGAGGTCTTGTTATCTTTCCCCACATTACTCGCACTTTGCTGGCTTTCTTATCACCTTTGGCTACAGATTTTCTCTTAGCACGGTAGATAAAGGCAACACGTTTGCCAAGGTAGAAATCTGTTTCTTTCTTGGCAGCTACCCCTTCGATTCTTAAAAGGGAGGTGTTTGGTTGCTGATTACGCAAGCCTCTCTTGTAGCCGAGGACAATACCTTTTGTATACAGGCTAAAATAAAAAAAGTGTATCAATAAGAGTGCTTTTCAGGCTACTAACAACAGTGTATTGATAAGACAGCCTCTTGTTTTAACATTATAACACCTTACTCCAAGAAGTATACAACAGATCAAAAAGGCAAAAAAATACATGCAACATTCATTGACAGGAGTAATAACTAGGGCTTAACCAGAGGTTTTAGGATTGCTTGCCAACCATTAGCAATAAAAAAACCTTTATATCATTTTGGAGTGAGAAGTTCCAAACTAGAAATGCCAAGAGAGTAACAAATGATTTCCGTATTCTACAATTCTGACGAATACTTAACAATTATTCCACGAGCTCGCATTGGATATGAGATGATAGATAGCCAATGAGGCGCATAGCACCAAGTTGGCTATAAACATCTCATGTCCAACAAGCGTCAGTGGAATAATTGCTTTATTAAAAAAATGCCCTCAAGATATTAGACAAATCTTCTTGACTTTATTTTGAAAGAAGAAACCAGATGTCACAATGTACAGATATTAGATTATGGTATATTGGCTCATATACCATAATGGCTAAGCCAATAAAAAGTCTTGAATTGCATCATCCAATGATCCAGTTTCTAATAAAGTATATTATCACTGAGGTCCCCATACAAGGTTTAACAGACACCAGTGTCTGTGCTATTTCAGGGCTCAACTGGATGGGATTCTATGAATTAATGCAATTTGGCACGAGAGATTGTACCTCTAAGTAGGGAATTGAGTCTAAATACTGTTTTAGTATAAATGTTTTTTTAATTGATTTTAACCTACATAACGGACGCTATACTTAACTTATAGGCATCACTAACTTATAAATGAAATCCAGGAAAATTCTGTTCATAATTAGGCAGTAACAAATTAAACTCGAAATCTACTTACAAGTTTGGCGAGCTTACCTATACTGCAAAGCTAAAACATAAACATGCGCACACATAAAAGATGAACTTACCGTGTAGGTTGTGACATTTTTAATCTTCTAGTTACCTGAAATAAACCGATAAAAACAGTTAACGTCAAGGGAAATTTGTTCTCATTCGAAAATAAGGCAGCCATGTTGGTCCACGTACGATGAAACAAAACATGGCGTGTCGTGCATTTTTTCTAAACTTGAACAGTCACATAATGGTAGTAGTATATATAAAATATATTTTAGTTGTATGAAAATGGGAAATAACCTTCAATGTACGACGATGGAACAAGATTTTAAGCTACACTCACCAAGTAACTCAGAAGCCGAGATGTCGACCCGAAGAGGAAGTCTGAGCAGGCACACATAAATTTTAGGCGGTCAGCGACTCACTAGATTCCAGACTACCAGGATTTCGTTCATAGCAACAAGAAAACAAACATGGCGGTTAGGTTACAATGTTAACAGTTGTGAGTTTCTTCAAGCTATTTCACACATAAAATGGATTTTGAAAGAAGAGCTATATCATCTAGATCACCTGCCACGAGGTATGAAGTCCTTCTTGTTGAAGATACCCCAAAGAAAGGACTTACCGAAGAACGAATGACAACTTGTTTTCATGTCTATGATGAACTAATTCCAGAGTTGGGAGTTTATAAAAAAGTTTTAAAGATGCTTCGGGATGAACTATACGAAGCTGTGTATAGCAATGAATACACTACAGCAATACCTAAAAAAGGGAAAAGCAAGACGACTTATATTCAACGCATTCCCTATTTCGTTCTTGTTAATCGAGTTTACGAGGAACGCGACATAAACGCAGACCAGCTAAAAGAAAATATTGCTGCATTGGAAAACAAACTTGCTGAGAAAGACAAACTATTGGAAGAGGCTAATGAAAGCATCGAGCGACTTAAAAAGTCACTTAAAGAGTGCAGGGATAAGATTTACAACATGGAAATCGAAATGGAAAACCAGAATCTCGAACAAAGGAAACTTGAAGCAAGCGTCCAATATGAACAGATGACGCAACAAGCGGCTAAAGACCGCTACGAGAAACGCATTTCTGGTCTTAAAGAAGAGCTCGCTCAAGCTAAAGAAAGGAACAAATTTCTTGAAAAGTTTAAAGAAGGTTATGACACCCTTGAAGAAGCATTTAATGATTCAACAGTGTTCGAAAATAAGCCTCAAAACCCAGCTGTTCTAACGAGAAGAGCTCAACTCATTCAAGAAATTTCTAATGCTAAACTTTTGGAAGAGCAACTTCTAACCATGCAGAATTTAGTTATTGAGGAATTTGAGCTTTTCCTGGAGGAGAATAAGGCTTTGCCGACGACAGAAGAAGTTGATTTAGGAAGCAGTGGAAGTAACTTTCGTGGAACACCAGACGATGAACATGAAATGAGAGTAAAACTGGAAGAGGAGCTGCACAAAGTCAAGGAGAGATTCAAACAAAGCATTGCTGATATTGAAAATGAATTTCAGCTCATTGAGATTCAAAGGTCCAGTCTTGAAGATCAGTTGGTCGAACTTGAGGAGGAAGCTAGAAGAATAGAAAGAGAAACCAACGAAAAGAAGGAGAGAAAGAAGAGCATGTTTTTCATGGAAGGAGAAAAGGAAAAGAAACCAGATCCACCTGAAGACGATGACGAGATTGACTTTGTGAAGATCATGAACAGTGCACATAATCAAGATCCATTTATTTCACACGAAAGAATCCTCAGCAAGTATTCAGCAATGATGTACTACTCCTGCAACCAGGGAAAGAACTATCACGTGTTTAAAGATGCAAAGTTTTGTGCAAGTTGTGGTGAAACAACTCTACTCTGCCCACACAAAATTACAGATCACAAGGTTGTTTCATTGCCTCATAACTGTACCCACGTCAAGATCATTAGGCCAACAGTGCACATATCACGCGATGAAAAACCTCCTGTTCTTGTGACTGAAACCCCCGAAAGCGTCCGAGCGATATCGGTGATTTCAAACAGCACTTTAGCTTATGGAGAAGAGTCCATCTTGAAAGAACAGCAACACCTGACCACGACGTACAAGTTCCTCTGGGATGACTACTACTCAAGGACATCAATCCGAAGACAGATACCACGGGCTCTTTCTCAGGATCGTGTCTCATCCATCATTGAACAGTTTTACTCTTCACTAATCTGGCAGGATGATTACGCAGTAGAAGATGAACAAATTGTTTCAGTTCTGGACACGTTGTACTCTTTCTTCCACGAACGATATCTTGTTTCAGATGTCACATTTCTTGCTGTGTATGATTTCTTTACAAGTGTGATCAAGTTTGCTCCAAACAACAAGAATATTCAGTTGTTTGCACAAGCAATGTGTGGCAGTTTAGATCCAGTTGTGGTTCGTTACATCCTTCTGGTAAATGAGTTTATCGATCTGGTTGAGTGGGTGGCCGTCAAAGACATCAGAATTTTTGCTCAAGTTGTATATCCCTTTATGAATGAAGAAGACATTGAGCAGTTCTCTATGGGCTACACCTCCTTCAGCGAAAACAAGATTTCCAAGGAACTAGTGTCGGAGTATTTCTTGTACATAATTCTGAAGTACAGAGAACCTCGCTTTCAAGAAATGGAAGTGAAACTTCTGCAACAACCAGGGAGGAGGCCTGGGTTCATGACAGATATTGAATATGCAGAAGCTATCGATAACATCTGTCCCTTGGCATCCGAACGCATGCGGCGGCGTCTGTTTGTAGAGTCTGTGGAACACTTGAGAGCCACTGACGACTCAGTGTCCGTGATGCGCTTGGCACAAATCACTGGTTATCTGACTATATTGCAACTCACACCCGTCATTAAGAATTCAGTTTCCCAGAAAGTGGATGAAGCACGTCTTGGGGTCGCCGAAAGACAGTCGTCCCCACCCCCTGATGCTCCGGTGAGCAGTGCATCCAAACCTGGGAATTTTTTTACCACGACCAGTGCACGTGCAGTAGCAGCTGAGAATGCCAAACGCTCAAGAACTCGGCAACTAAAAAGGATTGAAGAATACCAGTATGACTAACCTTTATTGACAGATCGGGAAACTTCAGAAATGTGATGGTTACCTTAGTATTATGAGAACAGGTCACAAAGATTCAAAAAGGGAAGCAAAAGAGAAATCAAAAGGAACAGATACCAAACTGAGTTTATCAGATGGCCGATACAAAGAAGTAGGTAAATAAAAGAAATACTACTGAGTGGCGAACGAAAGGATGCGTTTCATGATAGTTAACTGATGTTATTTTTGAACTCTTATGTTAAGTCCTGTGCCTATTAACAAGTGTTTTGTTGAAACGTTTTTCGAAAAAAAAAAAAAACCTGCAAGGAGGGCCGCAAATTACCTCACCCTGCGGACTGACCTGTAGATATTTAATTAATTTTGTAGATATTAATTAATTTCTGTAAATTAATTTTTTTGTAGATATTAATTTTTTTGTAGATATTAATTTTTTGGTAGATATTAATTAATTTTGTAGATATTAATTAATTAAGATTTAATTAATTTCTGTAGATATTTTAATTTTGAGAGAAGGAAACTCATCTAATTGTTAACGCTTTAATCGGATTTAAGTAATTAATCGTCAGTTTTGATGTGCAATTCATTTGAAATCATTGGTCATAACGCCACGGTAGCAACTAGCAAAAAAACCTTCCTTACATTACTCAAATTGATAATGCCGAGTGAATTACTGCTAGCAATAAAAACACTCGATAAACATAAAAGAACGTTCGTGAAAATTTTATTCACACAAATTTAAGACCGTATAGGAAATAGGAAGACTTTAGACTCGCTAAAAAAAAAATACTGTAAAAATGATTGTCCTATTTGCATTCTATACCTCGTTGGCTATCTTGCGTCTTGTCCTTTATTTATTCATTTTCAGATTTAGTTCAAAAGTAATAAAAAAAATTGTTTATTACGATTAAAGTACTGGGGAACAAGACCATGGGACAGGAAGTCCCCTACAAGGTCAAGTTCCCAAGTCATATCCGACACGCTCTCGAGAAAATATTTCTCCTAACGAACTTAATTTGTCAGGTTGCGCTGTTTACGCATGCAGCCACTCAAGTGAATCTACGGCTCCTGTTTGAAGAAAGAGGCAAACTAGAGATCTGGTTATATTTCTATAAACCCTCATACAATTTTACTTTTTCATCGTGTATAGTATTTCGTTTTAGTTTACAAGTAGTTGAGATATTTTATTTGACCTTGATTTACTGTGGCACAGGCAGTTGTATTTCTTGACTGCTTCATGCTTGAACAGCTTAAAAACACTTAAAGAAAACATTTAGACATATTCCATTGTGAATTCTTTTAATCGTATGCATATGTATATGTGACGCCAATGAATAAAATAAATCATCAACATGTTGATGTCCAATTTGCAACTTATAACAATCGCTCGCGATTGTCTGTGATGTTTTGTGAGGCTGACACTACCAGCACACTTCGTCATCACTGTCAAAGTAATCAGTTAGCTCACGCTCCAACCGTCCTCTTTTCCATTGTGATTCTCTGTTGATCTGTACATCCTCCTTGTGCTTTATCTCCTTACAAACTCTGCATCTTTGCTCTCTCCTCTTCAGTTGTGTTTTGCTGAATTCTTCTTGCGGAAACAGTCCTTCACATGCCGTGCAACTGAGTAGTTTCGTAAGGGAAATAAAGTGTTCTTTTATCTGGAATGATATGGAGTGGAAGCAGGGCATTCGTCTCGTATATACCGAAAGATCTTTTGGATATGTAGCGAAACGGATCAGCGTACCTCTCAGATGCAACCCGGAGAGACGAGCTTTTTCTCCACCGTTGACATATTTCATCTTCTCGTGCAATTTAAACATGCCCACCGTATCCACGATACGGTATTATTGAATCAAATCATCCAGCAGAGGTCTTTTCTTCCATGATTCATGATTCAACGGCTCCGCAACTTCCTCAATGTAACATAAATCAGAAACCTTCATTGGGTTTTTGCCTATAATTTCAGTGAAATCTGTATCCTGAACGTACAGCTCAAGGCAGTGACTATAGCCATATATGCTCTCCACTTCACGTGTTCTCTGGCTACAGTACTTTGTTTCAGGGAGTCGACACGAAAACAGTGGGGAGTAGAGTTAAGCGGTTTGTTTTCAGGACGATAGATGACCTCAAGAAGCTGAAAATACAATACTTCTGTCAATCTTACTTTAAAATGGCGCCAGAGCGCGTCAGAATCTGGATGGCAATCAAACATCAATTTCGTGTGAGACTCGTCACTTCAAGGATCGGAGCAAGTCCAGCACTAAACACAGCTTTTCCTAATTTGAGGACATCAAATATGTAGGCTTTATCCTTAGTTGCGACTGTTATGATCGGATCGAGTGGGTAAAACATATTCGTCTTTTCGGCATTACTTTCGACGACATGCTTTCCTGGGTATACAATCTCACAGATGTAAGAAAGAACTTTGTCAGCAAACTTAACCTCTTGAGAAGGCCGGAGTTCGTTTTTGAGCCGAAACGTCCTATTGGACTTGTACTTTAAGATGATATTGCCATCTGTTTTATATGGACTGGTCGTTTGGGACGGCTGTCCAAATATAGACCTACAATCTTTGGAAATACTTCAACGAAGGGCAGCCAGAATAATATATAACTTACCTCGCGATAAACCCACTGAAGTATACCGACACTCGAATTGGAACGCTAACCTTTTATTATGAACTTCGATTGATTAAACTATTTCATAGTGTGTTTATAGGTGAAGCACCTGCTGCTCTTTCATACTTGACAAATAAACCTTGCACTACGTACAACTTCGGAAGGACTAATAACATAATCGTCCCGCATTTTAACTCGCAGTTTCTTAAAAATTCTATTAGCTATAGAGGCGCTATCCTTTGGAACGCTGGCTGGTCTTATTTTACAGGCCAGTTCACTGATTTTTATAGTAAAGTGAAGAAGGACTTCTATTTTAAGGAACTTGATTTTAGCGCACAGTCGGTCTAGTCGTTGTCCAGGCACTACCGAGTTTCATCTAGTAATTATTTTCCCACGACCCCACCAGCTTTGAGCTTTAAACCCTATCGTGTTTAAATGAAGGATATGAATGAATGATTGCGAGTATTCGCTTCCTGCCCAGATTAACACCTTCACAATCAACAGCTAAGAGGCGAAAATTATGTTCGATTTCTCGTCTGAGCTCAGGAATAGCATCCTCTAGACCAGCTTCATTGTCGATGAGTCTGAAATCACTTGACTGATCTTGTACGCCATTCTTGATATTACTTGAATTTTTGCTCTGGTTTGATGAAAGTCCGTCTTGCGCAAGGACAATGCGACAGCTTTCTTGGAACCTCTTGAGTTACGAGTTCTAAGAAAATCATTTTTATTTCCGCCAATTGTGTCCCCCTCCCTCCTCCTCTCCTCTCCTGATGGCTATTAACACAGATTGCTTCTGAGTACCAGAGGATTAGAAGCAATCCTCCCATCGGCTCGTTTGAATTTTTGGTACAAACGAATTTCTCTCGGTATCTGTTGGAAGACGTATGGTTAAACAAACAAAGGATCAAAAAGTCAACCTCTTGATTTTTTGTCATTTGTCTCTTCTTCAAACCGTTGTGAACGTGTTCTACCTGATTACCCCACCCCCCATCAAAGATGTATATGGCAAAACGCAGGGGGGATGTAACAAAACAAGATAATTTGGATATATCAACAAAGTTGAAATGGTAAATTGGCAACCGTAACGATTACAAAGCTGACGTTTCGTGCGTTAGCCCTTCGTCAGAGCGAACAAAACCATAACAAAACAAGGCCGACCAATGAAAGAAAAAGGTGGAGTTCAAAGAAATGATTAATTCTAAGGAGCACTTCACACTCGGCAGTTTTGACGAGTAAGCTTCGTCAGTTTTTCATCCTTTACTTTTGTTAAATCATAAGGAATGGCCAGCAAGTTCTCATATGATTACACACTGGTTGATAACGATTCTAGTCTCAAAGACGCCATATCCGAACTCAGACAGAAAATAGTACATAGCGCACTCTTAGCGGTTGATTGCGAAGGTGTTGACCTCAGCAGAAAAGGAAGACTTACCATAATAACAGTTGCCATTGAAAAGAAAGTCTATATATTTGATGTTTTGGAACTGGGAAAACGCGCCATAGTCCGAAGTGGACTTCGTGAAATCCTGGACAACAAGTCGTGTACTAAGCTAATGTTTGATTGTCGGCAAGATTCAGATGCGCTCTGGCATCAGTTAAATGTCAGGCTAACGGGAGTGTTGGATCTTCAGTTGCTTGAAATCCTTTACCGCCGTGAAAATGACTCATCTAACAGTCGTGAACTGTCCCGCACTAAACATAAAACGGCTCGAAGCCAGAGAACAGATGAAGTTGAAAGCATTTATGGTTTTCGTCGCTGCCTCGAACTGTATCTTGAGGATGAAGATTTGGTTAAGATGAAGGATGAAGGAAGTAAATTGTTAAAGATGGACATTGAAGTGTGGGAGAAAAGGCCTTTACCTGATGAGTTAATACAGTACTGCGTCGTAGATACAATGGCGATGTTCAAATTGCACGAGAAGATGAAAGATGTAGAAGAAAGGGAGAGGGCTCGTTTACAAGTTGCCTCCGAGAAGTATGTTGATCTGTATCGAAGCAAAACACAAAGATCGTTCAACAACTTTGAAACCAACGCATTGCTTCCCCTAGACATCATCCCGGACGAAGGAACTCTTTCTTTTCCGCCTGCTGATACTAAATGTACTCGTTGCAAAAGATTATTTCCACGAGAAGAATTCACCAAAACACAGCTAAAGAATAACGAGCAGAAGTGCAGGGTATGCAAGGAAATAAAACGCCGAGAAGATGTACGAAAAAACAGAGAAGCGAACAGCCGAGATGACTTTCTTTATGTTGTGTAGTTATATTATTGTTATATCCAGGTTCTTGTACATCCCAGTGAAAAGGTAGGTTAAGTTTATAATCATATTAATTATTATAAGGAAGAACTGACTTTAACTATAATTAACACTTAAATGATAATATTGAACGACAGAATCGAATAATAGAAGTTATCTTTTAAAATGAATGTTCTCATCGGTAGCATTTTTTAAAACCGCTTTTCACAAGAAGTCGATCAAGGGCTTGCTTAAAGACACGAGCTCGATATGTTTTGTAGTTCTTTTCTAAAGAAAAGAAGAATTGATTACGCTCTTAGCTAGGAAAGCGTCCGTAGAATTGTGGTTTTTATATGAGATCGCACATTTCCGAATGTACGCGAATAATTTCTATAAATGTTAGCGTGCGTCTTTTAGTTACATGAATCAGAATCTCTATAAATCGTAATGACTGCCTCTGAAGGCAGGTGACTTGCGTGCGTAGTCCAAATATTTAGAAAATACTTTATAGTCCTGTATATAGCTCGGAAAAATTCGATTTATGTTGTATATGATATATACGTTTAGTATATATCATATATATACTAAACGTAAGAAATATAAATAGTATTGGGTAATGCATTCCAGACCTAAACAGTAGGATTTAATAATGAGTAGAAGGCAAGAATGTGCAAGGGGCGAAATAACCACGATTGGTTGCGAAGAACTCAATTACATTGTGTAGATGATGCCCTAATTACGTATTATAGCGGATGCGATTTTTTGATCTGAATTCGCGTCTTTTGTTAAGTCCGTGGGGACTAAGTGTACTCAGTTGTGCGGTCCAGTAGGCCTCTCTCGTAAGTAATAATCTATCAATATAAGCTGCGTCCCCTTGGCTGGTAATTTTCTCAATAACAATAAAATTAATTTCAGAAATTTCGTGTTTGGTACAATTGAAGTGGACTGCAAGCTCGCACGTTTTTTTGTTTGTTCGCATAGATGACTTGTGATTACGAAAACGCACCTTGAATTCAGTGGAAGTAGAACCATAGTAAACAATATTAAACCAAGTAAACCAAGTAAACAATAGTAAACCAAGTAAACAATATTTCTGGAAGAGCAAGACAAGTTTTGGCAAATCTTATAGGTTCGGCCTGTGGAAAAACTCTTAAATTTGGAATCTTGAATTAAAAAATTCTTGCAAAGGTCGCATCTAGAAGAGCATTTAAAACACCCTCCCGTTTCCTTCTTTGCCTGACTAACTTTCCCACCCACACAAAATCTAGAAGGCGCCAATATATATATATATATATATATATATATATATATATATATATAGGAAGTCTGTAAGTCGATTTTCGCGTGGAACAGTGCTCAATACGTTGAAGCAGAGCAGAATAAATATTACGAGAGGAAAAAAGGACGTAACTACAAATTTGGAAAGAAAATGAACAATGTTCGCCGGAACTGAAAAGCAGGAAGCGGAAGTTCAAACTGATGAATTCTTGGAACCCGTTTACTCGACGAAGTGGTTCCAAGAAAGCTTGGGGTTCGCTCTAAACAAATAAATAAGGATGGCTCGAAGAGGGTAGGCAAGCAACATTTTTGCGTAAGTGGAAATTGTAAACGACAAGCGTGATGAAAAATAACTACAAGGTTGTCGATGAACAGAGAACATTGAAGGATGCTATCTCTAATCTCAAACGGAAAACAAAACATGATAGCTCACGGTTTATAGCTGTTGATTGTGAAGGAGTTTCTTTAAGTAGACATGGAGCTCTAACAATCATAACAGTCGCAACTGAGGAAGAAGTCTACATATTTGATGTCTACAAATTGGGAAAGTTTATATTCAGTTGTGGACTCAGTCAAATCCTCGAAGACAAGTCATGCACGAAGCTGATGTTTGATTGCCGAGAAGATTCAGATGCTCTCTGGCATCAGTTTAACGTAAGAATGACAGGCATTTTGGATCTTCAACTCCTTGAAATTCTCTACCGTCGTGAAAACGACACAGTTGCTGACAAAGCTACCGACCAGTTCTCCTTTAGTACGAGCTACTCTCATCGTAATCAAAGAACCCATGATCAAGTGGAGAGCGTTTTCGGTTTTCGTCGCTGCCTTGAGCTGTACGTCAGTGATGAAAATTTAATAAGGATGAAGGATAAAGGAAGACTTTTGTTGAAGAGTGACGAAGAAATTTGGAAGAAGAGACCTTTGTCAAACGAGTTAATACAATATTGTATTGTTGATACATTGGCAATGTTCAGCTTGTACGACAAGTTGAAGGGTGTCTTACAAGCTGCCGATCAGATTCGCCTACGAATAGCATCCGAGAGATACGCTGATATGATTCGATGTAAAACCAAAAGGTATTTTGACGAATACGAGAAGAATGCACTCCTTCCTCTTTACATCATACCTGATAAAAGACGTGTCTATTTTCCTCGAGCTGATACAGCTTGCACCTGCTGTCATAGGTTGTTTCCCAGAGACGAGTTCTGGAGGTCGGAACTTAGACGAAGGGGGCAAAAATGCAGGGTGTGTAAGGAGGTTGCCCGTCGAGTAAGTGTACGGATTAACAGACACAATAGTTGGGCACGGAATTGGAGACATAGGGGCACAGAACAGTATGTCACAGAATCCTTAAAATTTGATCCTACGAAAAGGAAGACTCCTTGTGATTTTGACGCCAAGGAAAGGACAAATCCCAGAGATTTAGATCCCAGGAAAGAAAACCCTTGGGAATCCTGGCGTTGGATTGTGTTCATGCTAGTAACTGTTATAGCAACATTGTTACTGGTGGCAGTTTTTCTAGTCTGAATGTTTTTCATCAGTGACAGACTTACATTGAGGCCCATAATTAAATTAAGTGTCAATTTTGTGAAACTTAACAATCTAATGAATGTCTCTAAGTTGTGTTTGGTCTCGGTTTTCAAGATGATTCATGTCCTCTTGTCCAGCCAAACAAAAGTTTAGAATATTTGGTTCACCTTGAATTGACAACATTGTGTTTTATTCAGGTTTATCATTTACCCAAATCCCACTTTTCTTTTGAATTTTTGTACAGCAAATAGTTTGAACCCAGGAGCAGGCAGACAATTGTATAAGTGGTATATAGAGAGACTGAGACAGTTGTACAGTTGACAGCCTTTGAAAGCAAGTCTTTATTTCTCTGATCCATTTGTATACAATTCCCTGATGAAATCCTTTCCCACTTGTGCAAATCTACCTAGCTGTAATGGTTGGCTGTATTTTTTTAACCATGAAGTCCTGGCCAAAAGATAGTAGAGTTTCTTGGGTTACCACTAGAACTGACCAAAATGATGTTCTTTAAAAGCCCCAAGAACTTTCATGTTTTGTTGTGGGATACATGTACACTTGCACAATATGATATAATGTTCAATATTGTCAGACAACTGTGACTGTTCAGACCTTTAGCCAGCCTAACATCCATCTATATGAGAGAACAAGAGTAAATCCTTTTATTATTTAATGAACTTAGCCTAAATGGTGTGAGATGGGGATTCAGATGAGTGTGTTATGCACAAGGGTTAGGTTACAGTACAAAGAAAAGCCAGTTATGCTTAAAAATGACCTTCCCACTCACTCCCCTCCCAGAACACGAAGGGAAACTAAAACAGAAAGTTATGTATCATAGTCGTCATCCTCATCTTCATGTTTTCGCTTAAGTGGTGTTATCAATGGTTGCTGGGTGCTAGCAACAGTTTCATCCATGCTTGGAAGGGCTGACACTGTAAGCATTGAAGCTGGGTTGCCTGTGCTTTGAGAGGCTTTAGCTGGTACACCTGTGATAGGCTGACTTTTGGTGACAGTTGCTCCTGGTTCACTTTTCACCTAAAGAGAAACACAAACAGAGTTGTGAGATTTTCCTGACATCATCAAATATATCTTACAACTTGACTGATTGGCTTGTTAGTTAATGCCCTGTTTAAGATGAGGGGTGTGAGACAAACAGCCAGAAACAGTGTGCTGGTGGTAGGAAAGCCAATTATGAAGGAATTTTAGCATGAGAAAGGGTATGCTACAAGAACACTAGATTAGATTAGATTTCTATCAAAATTCTTATTTTTTTTATTCATAAGGCTGTCATTTTTACCACCTTTTCTTGACAAGGTGGCAACTGTTAAATCATCAATACTTTTGTGGCAAATGATATTCTGTAGTACAGTACTAGTGTTATTATGTTTTAGTGTCAGGGCAAAAGTTGGTGCCTATGGCACATTTGAGAGTTTTGATGCATATCATTAGCTCATATCAATTTTTTTGAAAAGACAGTTTGAAATGCTATTGCACACAATGTGAGACTGAACAACAAGGGTATAATTTAGTTCTTGTGAAAACATTTTCCACCTAAATCAGTATGTGTTACAGGGCAAGCCAACAATATAAAGTGTCCTGACAACATGAAAGTATTGCTGTGTGGTTTAAGGAGATGTTACCTGTATTGCTGGTGCTCCTGTAGTCAGCACTGACTGTTTCTGTACCACAGTGGTCCCTGTTAGTTCCTTTTTTACTGTTACACCAGCTGTGACAGCTGTTGCAGCATTTATCAGGGGTCCAGCAGATGTGGCTGTCACTGGGGTAGCAGTTGGCATTTTGACTGTTACAATAGTTGCTGGTGTGGCTTTGATGAGTGTTGATACAGCTGACTGAGAGATTGTTCGAGCCACCACTGGATTGGCACGGACCTGAGCATGCTGCTAACAAAACGAGTAATTTTAAAGGCAATGGTTAGAGCACAAGTTAGGGGTCACAATTGACTTATACTGGTTATCCTGACAGACTCAGGATTGAAAGGTCGTAGTTCAACACCAGACCAGATCATAACATTGTGTTTCTGGGTAAAACACTTTACTCTTACAAAATTCCTCTCTCCACCCAGGAGTGTAAAAGGGTACTAGCAAACTGCCAAACAAATCTGATGAAATCATTAACCCTTAGCATCCTAACATCAATATGTCATCTCCATGTTTACTGTTCTATACACATCTTCTCGTATACCGACAAGGAGAATTTGTTTCACAAAGAAGAACTTCTTTAGGTGGTGATAATTTCCTTTATTCTCCTGACCTTAATGTGAGGGTGATCCAGTAATGATATTGTAAGAACAAATTAGATGCACTTCACTTAGGGGTCTAAAGATGAAAGAGTAATCTTTCATCAAACTTAGCATCCTATCCAATTTGGAGCAAAAAACTTCTAGTTGTTTCATGCTCTACAAACCAGCATAAGCTGCCACAATACAGCCACTAACTTCAGAAGCGGGCTTAACTTAATGAGGGCACATAAGGATCCCTGTTTCTTTGAGACTTTTCTACGGCACCTTTTTTTGTGTCTTGACTTTGTAGTTTGTTGAGGTGAGACAATACCGGTCAGGCGGTAGTCGTAAGCCACTCTTTGTCTGAATCTGTGGTAAAGGGTGTCGATTCTTCTGCCGTGCAATCTCAATAAGAAACTGATGAGAGAAATTACAACAAAACTAAAAAATGTAACTTTTCTTAGAGTAAGCAGTTTGCCTTTGAGAAGAACTTTTCAATGAAATTAGTGCTGAGGACCATAACATCTACGCTAAGAAACTAGCTAAGTGAATTCCTGAACAGTTCCATGGTGACTCTATTCTGAAGTACTGGTCAAGTCAGCAACTCTCAATTGACAACTGCTGACACAATTGAAATGGATTGAAATATTGATGAGGATGAGAATTTATTCATAGCAGACTTAAATATCTGTAAAAAGTATTAAGGGGTTTGAGGGTTAACATTTATGTGTGAGTTCTACAGAGGTACATAACTTTTGGAATTGTATTTTATTTTGTATTTGTATTAAACAATTTGCCAAAGGCAGGTAAATTTACAATAGGAAAAGGTTGTCCCCTACTAAGTAAATTACCTTTCCCTATCCCCTACCCCAATTTCAGTAAACAGGTCAGACCACAACACCGGCAGCTACATTCCCTACTCTTTGTAGTAAGTCGGTGAGTTCTTTAATGTCCCCTGCTTACCAGTACAGAGAAGATACAGGAGATGGGACCTACTGCTTTTTCATCCTTATCCAAGAAGACTAGAATGTCCTATCCATTTCTGGATATAATATAAACGTAGCACATTCTCCTTAGTGATTTTAAGACCCAGAGAGTTGGTCTGGTCTGGCTCTCGAACCCTTGACCTCCCGCACCGTAGTCTAGTGCTCTACCACCTGAGCTAACCAGGTGGTGGTTAAGTGTTCAAAATTGCTGGGTGCAAAAGTGTCATGGAAAGTAAGTTGAGGGCACATACTACACAAAAAGTGTTGTTAGGTGTAAAATTTTAAGTTACACTTTCAGAAGTATATCTTCCCTACTCTAATAGAGACTACCTATGTAATGTTTATTTGAACAAAAGTATAGTGAAATGAGAAGCTATATGGTTTAGGTCTCATATCTTGTACACAAACATATAAAACAGAGACAAAGTGGGCTGCATATCACAATATATACCTCTCTTGGTGGAGGATTTGTGTAAGAATGGTCCAGTCTGGATTGGATGGCTAACTGCACATCTTCGGCATCGAGATCTTTCTTGCCAGCATGTTTACTGTAAACCGTAGCATCCTCTAGCACAGTTGTAATGTAACCTGTGAACGTATTCAAACGATTTTGTCTCTAACTTGCATCAGGTAAAATAAAATGTCTTTCTGTAATAATGTTAACCGCTTGAATTTATGAAATTAATTTAACCCCCAAAACGTGACACACTAACACCCAAAAAATGAGCAAATAGCGGCTCTTCTTCTCACAATCGTGTCACATCATCCTAGAAACAGATAATCAACAAGGGAGTACCATCTTGATCTAAAACAAGTTTCTCTTATTTTATTTACAACGAAAAGTGTAAAAGTCAGCAGGAGAATAATTGTCACTGCTTATGGCCGTCGCAAAGTACTGCAACGACGCAGCTCAACAAGGTCGAACCGAAAGCTTACAAAATTACGGCGCCTCTAGCGCTATACGGTCCATGTGTGATCTTGGAGCACAGCTCAATCAGATCTTGGATTTAAGGTCAAACCTAAGCAATGATACTTTTTCCAGCTCTACTCCAATCAAACAGTACTTAAATTAAAAAAAAATGAACACGAGAAACATATCCTAGTCCCTATGGTAGATTATTATCACAAATATATCAGTGACAGCTTTACTTACGGTAGGTGTATTCAAGCATTTGGTTGATAACTCGTGGTTCGTATTCACTGATTCCCATCTCTTTTAGAATGGCAGCCATAACTAAGGCATCTTTTGGTGTGCTTTTCGCAGGTAAAGTACCTTCTGCCTGTTCATTGGTGTCTGTTTTGTCCGCCATTATGTTTTCATCGGTACTACTACATGACAGTTACACCACCGCCAAAAACATAAATGAGAGATACCACTGTTCAATTCCAATCCCATGCAACATTCGCAGTGAAAATGGCAGCCTTATTTCCTTCTGAAAGAAGCACTAAAGATGTTATAAATTCGATTTTAGATGATTATGAAAAATTAACTAAGTACTTTCCTTTTTATATAATTTTTTTATCTGTTATTCTGCAGCGTTTCTAATGCGACGAATTCTGTTATTTTACAAGATCAATGTTGTTTTATAATCGCGACAGGTTGACTAATGCTAAGTTACATCCGCTTTTGTATGTAGAGAACTATTCGAAAGTTTATCTGCAACTTCATTGTATCGAAGAACAAAGCAAGATGCTAGTTCAGGAGAAACAGCAAAGGTAAACTGTTTTATCATGGAACAGAGAATTAACTCTGAAAGTAAATTAAAGTGCTAAATCAAACCCATGAAAAACCCACTGAGCGTTAGCCCCAGTAAAGGGTATCAGGGAACCACACGAGGTAAAGAAAAATTCTTGTGACCTCCCACCGAGGTCACAAGAATTATTTCTTTACCTCGTGTGATTCCCTGATACCCTTTACAAGGGCTAACACTCAGTGGGTTTTTCATGGGTTTCATTTAGCACTTTAATTTACTTTCAGAGTTAATTCTCTGTTCCATCATTTGTTTTATCATGGGTTGACTTCATACTTCATCAGACACAATTACAAAGGAAAGGGTAAGGTGATAACTGGACTCAAAGGGTTTTTTTTTACTTTGCATTTGTGCCATAGGCTGTTGATCAGCTTATTTCAAAGGAGAAAGAACTACAAGCAGCTATTGAGAAAGTTCAGGAGCAGCAAGCACGACAACAGGAAATCCAAACTGTGAGAGAAGAAATTTCAAAGAAAGATCAGGAAATACTTAACCTTGAATCCCAGCTAAAAGAAGCTGAAAAAATATTGGTAGGTAAAGGAAAAACAAACCGGTGTAAAGGGAAGGCATTGTATCATAGAACATGATACTGAGAATCAGAATGATCTGTCTAGTGTCTCAACTGAGTCCCTGAGGGCTTGCTGATAGTTTTCTCAATTCATATTTACCTGCAGTCAGCATTAATTATATATTGTGGAAAAGCTAGGGCAGTAGTTCTCCCTCCCCCAATATATATCACAACTCACCACTGACCCAAATGGCTCACTCTTTGAAAATATTAAGGAAGTTTGACACTTACATAACATGTTTATATTCAGTCCCAGGCATTATTTCAAGCAAAGAAAAAGTTGACTGCGATAAATCAGGCCAGTAAAGGTAAACAGACAAGCTTACTTGAAATGTTAAGGAATTTTATAGTTTAATGTTGTTTTTTTTTGTTTAATATTTATTTATTTTGCAAACAAAGGTTAAGGTGACAGGATATCTAAGAGAGAGAGAGAGAGTAAAAAATTAGAGTGGACAGAGAATCTAAACAAGTTTTATCCACTTCCTCTGACTCATGAATTGATGTGTTAGCGTCGCATTCAAAAGTGAGCCCTCTAAACCCTTTCACTCCGAGCAGAAACCAAGACATCTTATTTTCTCAATACAATGTCAGTACAAAATCAAACAGACAAGTGATTATAATATAGAAAATATTAATAATGGATAGCAGATAATCTTTATTTGTACTCACATTCATACTTGCTCTAAGCAAAAAAGTTACAAAATTGAAAGAAATTTTTAGAAAAAAAAAATGGAGTACTAGCAGCCTGCAATAACCATAGGGGCTAGCGGTGCCAGGCAGCTGGTTAACATCAGCATTAAATAAAATTAAATAAAATTAAATAAGGAGCTTATCATTTAATCCAATGCAAAATCCCCAGGACTAGAATAGTAAACAGTGTATGGCGGACAAGAAGGAGAGTTACTGAGATAACTTGGGAGAGAAAGGGATTAATCTTAAATCTATGCTATCTTGAAAACTTGACATTGTAATCTCAAATTCTGGTTTATGATACAAGTTAGAGAGATGTTAGACCATAACCTCAGCAATATAATTTATGTCACAGGGTTTGCCTCCACCCAAAGATTAACACAGAGTGATTCATGAACACATTTGTAAATAGACTAATTTTTGAACACGACCTGTCATAATTACATAATTTAATTTTGGCCATAGTACATTATTGTAATTTTTCATTACACATCGTTTATGTAACATAGAATATGTATCTTTTATCTAATGGTTTATTAAAGACTTCAAAAAAATGTTGACAAAATAGAAACAACTAAGAAATACAAATAAAATTTATTATTTTTTATGACAATATGACCTTTCATTTTAACAAGGAATGGTTTCATCTGAAGACTTGATCAAGTATGCTCATCGAATCAGTAGCAGTAATGCTGTTGAGGCCCCAGTATCTTGGATGCCAGGTTTGTTTAGGTCATGCTCTGTAACAGATTAATTTCCTTTTATTTCTTGTTTGACAGTTTAGGGGAATTCATTTCTTTATTTTTTTTGCTTTGAACACTAAAAGTTCAAATTGTGTCCTGTTATCCTATCATTTTCTTTTCTTTTCTTGCACTCAGCTTTTGCAAAACTTAGGTGGTAATCTGAAGGTCACACAGTGCTTAGAGCTTTTTTCAATTTCTGTAGCGTGATGTTTTACAGGAGTATTGTTACTTTTATGGCATGGAGTATTAATCTATCCCAGCTTACCATTTAACTTTCCCTGAAAATCATATGATGCTCATTTATGCTCCAAAACAATGACCACAAAAAGGCTCAATCCTCGGACCTTTTTTTTAAAGTTCAGTTCCAAAGGCCAAGATAGACTGCTGAATATATTTACATGTCCTGTTGTAACTGTTCACAGGTGACCCCCGGAGGCCATATCCTCAAGATATTGAGATGCGATCTGGTTGGCTGGGGAGACTCATGGAGGATGTTCCTAGAGAAACTGAAGGACCTGGCAGTGATCTTTCAACTCCCCAGGAAGTGGTGCAGTCCTCTGCCCCTGCATCACAAATACTGCAGCCTGCTGGTGGGCTGGGTAAGACTGAACAAAAATTGCACTCGAGGGAATTTTTCATTATTCATTTCATTAAATAGTTAAATAACTGAATTAAAGTTTTCCATTCCTTTTTATAAGGCCTCACAAATGGTCAAGCAGCAGCATTTTCCTGGCAAAGCCAGCTTCCAGGAGGGCAGTCTGCATCTTTACAGGTGAAAATTTGTTGTCTCAAACTCATTCATTATTATTGAATCTTTAACAGAGGAATTACAACCATCTCAATGTTGTGGATATTTAATAATGCTTGTAACAATTGTTCTTCTCTGGAGTATGAAGACCTAGGAAGCATAACACTCTCTTTTGGCATTGTAATTACATGAAAAAAAAAAAAGATTAAAAATGAACACATTTCTCTACCGATCCAAACTGGTGGGAGGTCAACCAGTTCGTTATTTACAAAGTGTAGCAAAGATGTTGAAACCAGGATATTTTGGAAACGAATCCACTAAGTGGTAGAGTGAAGGATGTGATCTTTAGATCTTCCTAAGATCCTAAATCACCTTTTGATGCTGCTTGCACCTGGAAAACACAGTGGCAATACTCAGTCACCTCATTCTACCAAACTTTAGATAAGCTTAGGGTTTGTTGGGAGTGAGGGGAGGGGTGAAGTTTGACTGCAGTACATATATCTTATTAACCAAGCGCGAGGGCCGTACTGGGGGAATATCGGCCTGAGGTCTTGACAGTATGGACCGAGCGCAGTGAGGTCCTTACAAAAAAGACCGAGGGCCGATATTCTTCCAGTACGGTCCCAAGCAAGCTTGGTTAATAAGAGATTTATTACATGACTGAAGTTCAAAGGGACACAAGTGCGGTATCATTCGGGACCATTCAGGACAGTGCCGGGTCCAATACTGAGAGAATATTGACCAGCACTGGAGCGTTTTGATTGGTTGATTTTAGTTATTAGCCCTCTGACTTCCTGAGTCGTGTAATAAATGTTGTTACTTATTTACTTATTTTTAATAAACAAAAAAAGTTCTTTTTTCACAGCAAGATGCGTCTTCCAATTTGGATATCCTAACAAACAATCTGACAAAGGAAGTAGCCAATGGCAGACAAGAACAAGGTGTGGATGAAGTAGAATTCATGTCATCATCGTCATCATCATCTTCCAGCGACAGCCCATAACAGCTGACTCTGTAAATCATAACTAAAAAGAAATCTATAAAGGATCTGTTCAAAGCTGTGGCTATTCAGTGGAGAGCTGATCATGATTTATAACCTAGCTCAGCTTCCTAGGTCTAAATGTAACCTTTTCCCTTTTTTCAAAATATGACTGGCTCTCCTGTGTCTTTGGTTATATCAACTAAGTAATTAGTTATATCAACTAACTAACTTTGGTTATATCAACT